GGCGCATCAGGGTTAGGTTCTGGTTTAGGAAAATGCTTTAATCTCACAAATTTAACACTTGATCTTTAGTAAAAAAGAGTTTATTTGTTTCAGATTGTGATATTTTTTAATATAAAAATAAATATTAAACAATATAATAAATTAATTTTTTTAATTTATCTATTAGAATTTTCTTTGATTTATTTTTCTTTTCTTTTTATTATGTTTGCTTGCTTGCTTATTTTATTTTCTTTATATGTTTTTTAATTTAAGTTATTTGACCATTTTGAACTTTTGCTATAATTATTAATTTGTTTATTAATTCATTTTTTATTATTTCATATGTTTTGTTCCTTTTTTCCTTTTACCTAACAAACTTATTAACTCTTTATTTTTTTCTTCAATATTTAAAAAGTTCGAATAAAATTGGTAATGAAGGTTCATTAAGCATAAGTTCTAATTTAGCAAACTGCACTAATCTCTCTAATCTGTCACTAAATCTTAGGTAAAAACAGTTTGTTTTTTTATTTGTTTTGGATTGATATGTTTTAAAATATAAGAATTTAAAATAATAAATAATTCTTTAATTAATTTATTTCTTAGCTTTTTATTTGATTTATTTTATTCGCTTTGTATTTTTTCTTCTTCTTTATTTGTTAATTTAACTCTTTTTTTTATTTTCAAATTTAACTTTAATTACTTATTAATTCATTCATTCATTATTATTTCATATTTTCTTCAAACAAACGAATTCACTGTTTATTTTTTATTTAATATTTAAAAAGTAGCAATGAAATTGGTAAAGAAGGTGCATCAGGCTTAGGTTTTAATTTAGCAAAATGCAATAATCTCTAAAATTTAACACTTATTCTGAGGTAAAAAAATTTATTTATTATAGATTATAATATTTTTAATATAAAAATTAATTTAAAACAATAAAAATCACTCTTTTAATTTACTTATTTATGAGCTTTTTTTTTAATTTTTTTTATTCTTATTGTTTCTTTGTTTACTAAATTTTAATTCATTTTTTCATTTTAAACTTTTGCTTTTATAGGGTACTAAAAAAAGATTTTCCAGTTCATGTTTTAAAATTTATTTTTATCACTTTTATATTTGGTTGGTTTATAAATGGTATATATAGCTAAATGACATTCAAAAATTTAGTGTCACTATTTTTTTGAATGGCCGATGTATAAATCAATTATCCTCAAAAAAATATAAATTCTAAAAACAGGCAAATCTTTTTTTAATACCATATATTATTAATTAATTAATTTTTTATTATTTCAAATTTTTTATTCATTTTTCTTTTAACTGATTAACTCTTTATTTTTTATTCTATATTTTAAAAGTTTGAATAAAATTGGTAATGAAGGTGCTTCAAGTTTAAGTTCTAATTTAGCAAACCTCACTAATCTTTAAAATTTGACACTTAATCTTTAGTAAAAACTTTATTTGCTTTGGATTGTGATAATATAAAAATGAATTTAAAACAATGAAACTAATACTTCAAATTTAATTTATTAGCTTTTTATTTTCTTTTTTTTCTTTTTTTAATTCTGCTTGATTTATTTAAGTCTTTTTTTTGTTAATTTAACTCATAATTTAATTAGCATATTTGTTTTTATGATTAATTAATTTCTTTTTATTTCATATTTATTATTCATTTTTTCCTTTTAACTAGCAATTTAGCTACATATTTTTTCTTCAATATTTAAAAAGTTACAATAATATTGATTCAATTGGCTCATTAGGGTTAGGTTCTGATTTAGCAAACTGCATTAATCTCTCAAATCTGACACTTAATCTTAGGTAAAAACAGTTTATTTGTTTTGGATTATGATATTTTTTGATATAAAAATAAATTTAAAACATAAAAACGAATTCTATTAATTTATTTTATTAACTTTTTATTTAATTTATTTTTTTAAATTAATTAATTTCTTATTATTTCATATTTTTTATTCATTTTTTCCTTCTTAATAATTAAGTCTCTATTTTTTTCTTTAATATATAAAAAGTTTGAACGAACTTGGTAATGAAGGTGCATCAGGCTTAGTTTCTAATTTAGCAAACTGCACTAATCTCTCAAATTTAAATCTAGATCTTGGGTAAAAACAGTTTATTTGTTTTGGATTTTTATTATTTTTAATATAAAAATGAATTTAAAAGAATATAACTAAACTTTTTAATTTACTTCTGGTTTTTATTTTTCTTTTGTTTAATCAAAATATGTTTTTTGTTCTTTTTTTGTTTGCTAATTTAACTCATATTTTTATTTTCAACTTTTGCTTATATTGTTCATTCATTAATTAATTTCATATTATTTCTTATTTTTTCCTTCATTTTTTCTTTCAAACAAACGAATTAATTAACTAAATATTTTTTCTTCTAAATTTAAAAAGTAGTAATTAAATTGATAAAGAAGGTATATCAGGCTTAGGTTCTAACTTAGCAAAATGCACTAATCTCTCAAATTTGACACTAAATCTTTCGTAAAACTGTTTATTTGTTTTTGATTATGATATTTTTTGATATAAAAATGAATCTTTTAATTTATTTATTAGATTTTTATTTGATTTATTTTTCTTTTTTTATTCTGCTTGATGTTTTTTTTTGTTCTTTCTTTCTTTCTTTCTTTCTTTCTTTATTTGTTAATTTAATTAGTTTTTTTATTTTCAACTTACTTTTGCTTTTATGATTAATTTCTTTTTATTTCATATTTTTTATTCACTTTTTCCATCTAACTAACTAAATAGCTATATTTTTTTTTTCTTAAATATTTAAAAAGTTCAAATAAAATTAGTGATGAAGGTACATCAAGCTTAGGTTCTAACTTAGGAAAATGCAATAATCTCTCAAATTTGGCACTTAATCTTTCGTAAAAACATTTTATTTGTTTTTTATTGCGATGTTTTTAAATATAAAAATCAATTAAATTATTTGATTATTTTTCTTTTATTTTTATTTTTATTTTGCTTTTGTTTTTTTACTTGTTTGTTTAATAAACACGTTTTTTTACTTTAAAATAAATCTTGGTTTTATTATTATTTAATTATTTAGTTTATTTTCTTATTATTTCATATTTTTCCTTGATATTTTTTTTCAAACTAATAATTAACAATTTATTTTTTCTTTAATATTTATAAAGGATGAATTAAATTGGTGTAATTGGTGTATTAGGTTTAAGTTCTGGTTTACGAAAGTGCACTCATCTCTCAAATTTAAAACTTGATCTAAGGTAAGAAGAATTTATTTGTTTTGGATTATGATATTTTAAAATATAAAAATGAATTTAAAACATAAAAAATAATTATTTTATTAGCTTTTTTATTTGATTTATTTTTCTTTTTTTTTACTGCGAAAGTTTTTTTTTTTTAATGATTTAAAATATTGTATTTAGTTAGTTAAACATTTTATTCTATTATTTTTCTTTAATATTTTATGCTTATTTTTATTAATAGTAATAATAGCAAAATCAAGATATCATAATAATTGCAAGTAAAGTTCCTCAAATAAAAAAGATTGGTTGTATTATAAATTGTCTATAATAAAAAATTGTGAAAAAAGAATGAATAAATAAAAATTATTTAATAATATAATATATTTTATTTCATATATTTTTTAATCTGATAATTAAACATAAAATACAGATAAATTTATTATTATTCTTATATTTATACATAATATATTTTTATAAACTAATAAATTGATTATTTAACCAAATAAAATTTAATATTTAATTTACTTAAATAAAGTAATTGCTCTAAAGTAAATCTTGAGATTTCATTATAAATAATCAAAGCTTTTATTAATAGCCATTAATAGTAACATTAAATAAATGCTAAGATTTTATACCACAGATATAAATTAGATGTATTAATAATCAGATTAATATATATTTTTTAAGCATTAGTAAAGATTAAATTAAAATTATAAAATATATAGCTAAACGCCTAATTAAAATCTGGTGGTATGTATCTATGGCAACCTCTAACTAGAAATTAATTAGGCTAGGTTTTCAAATAAAAAATACTTTTTTTAAATAATTTTTTTATAGAATTTAATTTTATAATAAAAAATAAGATAAGCATTTTAAAATTTATAATACCACATTAAAAAAAAATTACATAAATTCTTGTTATGAAATAAGCTTATAAAAAGCAAATTCTCTGAATGAATAAATTATCATTTAAAAAACAATTATTTTATGATTTTAAAAAATATAAAATGAAAAAAATCATCATAAGATAAATTAAAAATTTGAGAAAAAAACCTAATAAAGTTAAAATAAAAAGTAAAACTTGATTTCTCATTGAGGTTTTATTTAAATCATGGCATCTAATTAATCATGATAAATAAAAAAAGAATAAAAATATGATTGATGGATAATATTTAAGATTTAAAATATAATTGGCATATAAAAGTTTGGCATTTATATAATTTAATAAGATGTAAAAAAACATTAAAAATTTCAAATTATTTGATCGTTTTTGGACAAACCAGAGATTTTGCTTTATAGAATTTAATTTATTTAAGTAAATTTAGTTTTTTTTTTTTTTATAAATAATTTATTTATTTACTTACAAAAATATGAATGATATTTATAAATATAAAATCAATAATAAAATTTATATATCTATCTATTTATATTTTAGGTTAAAAACACTTTTTCAAAATATTAAATAACAAAATATATAATATTATTCAAACATTTTATGTTTATTCATTTTTTTTTCACCAGTTATTTATCAACAGAAATTAAAGACAACTAATCTTTTTAATTTACGACACTTGCTTATTACTTTTAATTTTTATGATTTATTCATTGATCTAATAAAACTTTTATAATAAATTTGTGTAAATTTTAAATAAATATCAAAACAGAATAAATTTTTAAATTAATAAATAAAATAATATTAGTGGAATAAAAAAGATAAAATATTAAAATAAATAAAAGCAATCAAATAAATTCAAAGAGCTTTTTTGTTTTAAATTCAATTTAATAGTTTAAAATATCACAATCCAAAACAAATAAACTGTTTTTACCCAAGCCAAAGTGTCAAATTTGAGAGATTAATGCAATTTGCTAAAGCAGAACCTAAGTCTGATGCACCCATTGCACCAATTTAATTTCCACTTTTTAAATATTGAAGAAAAAATATATCATTAAGTAGCTAATTAGAAGGAAAAAATGAAGAAAAAATATGAAATAATAAGAAATTAATTAATAATAAAAGCAAAAGTTAAAAATAAAATGATGAGCTAATTTAACAAAGAAAGAACAAAAAAAAAACAAGCACAATAAAAAGAAAAAAAAGAGCTATATTGTTTTTAATTAGTTTTTATAATTAAAAAATATCACAATTCAAAACTAATAAACTGTTTTTACCCAAAGTTAAGTGTCAAATTTGAGAGATTAATGCAATTTGCTAAAACAGAACCTAAGCCTGATGCACCTTTATCACCAATTTAATTTCTACTTTTTAAATATTGAAGTAAAAATATATCATTAAATTGTTAATTAGAAGGAAAAAATGAAGAAAAAATATGAAATAATAAGATTAATTAATAATAAAAGTAAAAGTTGAAAATAAAATGATGAGCTAAATTAACAAAGAAAGAACAAAAATAAGCAAGGACAATAAAAACAAAAATAAAATGAGCTTTATTGTTTTTAATTAGTTTTTATAATTAAAAATATCACAATCCAAAACAAATAAACTGTTTTTACTTAAGGTCAAGTGTCAAATTTGAGAGATTAATGCATTTTGCTAAAGCAGAACCTAAGTCTGATGCACCCATTGCACCAATTTAATTTCCACTTTTTAAATATTGAAGAAAAAATATATCATTAAATTGTTAATTAGAAGGAAAAAATGAAGAAAAAATATGAAATAATAAGAAATTAATTAATAATAAATGCAAAAGTTGAAAATAAAATGATAAGCTAAATTAACAAAGAAAGAACAAAAAAAAGTAAGCACAATAAAAAGAAAAATAAAAAATAGCTCTATTGTTTTTAATTAGTTTTTATAATTAAAAATATCACAATCCAAATCAAATAAACTGTTTTTACCCAAGGCAAAGTGTCAAATTTGAGAGATTAATGCAATTTGCTAAAGCAGAACCTAAGCCTGATGCACCTTTATCACCAATTTAATTTCCACTTTTTAAATATTGATAAAAAAAATATATCATTAAGTAGTTAATTAGAAGGAAAAAATGAAGAAAAAATATGAAATAATAAGATTAATTAACTAATAATAAAATCAAAAGTTGAAAATAAAATGATAAGCTAAATTAACAAAGAAAGAACAAAATAAAGCAAGCACAATAAAAAGAAAAAGAAAAAAGAGCTTTATTGTTTTTAATTAGTTTTTATAATTAAAAATATCACAATCCAAATCAAATAAACTGTTTTTACTTAAGGTAAAGTGTCAAATTTGAGAGATTAATGCAATTTGCTAAAGCAGAACCTAAGCCTGATGCACCTTCATCACCAATTTAATTGTTTCTTTTTAAATATTGAAGAAAAAATATGAAATAATAAGATTAATTCATAATAAAAGCAAAAGTTGAAAATAAAATGATGAGCTAAATTAACAAAAAAAACAAGCACAATATAAAGAAAGAAAAAAAAATAACTTTATTGTTTTTAATTAGTTTTTATAATTAAAAATATCACAATCCAAAACAAATAAACTGTTTTTACAGAAGGTAAAGTTCCAAATTTGAGAGATTAATGCAATTTGCTAAAGCAGAACCTAAGTCTGATGCACCCATTGCACCAATTTAATTTCCCCTTTTTAAATATTGAAGAAAAATATATCATTAAATTGTTAATTAGAAGGAAAAAATGAAGAAAAAATATGAAATAATAAGATTAATTAATAATAAATGCAAAAGTTGAAAATAAAATGATGAGCTAAATTAACAAAGAAAGAACAAAAAAAATCAACCACAATAAAAAGAAAAAGAAAAAAGAGCTTTATTGTTTTTAATTAGTTTTTATGATTAAAATATCACAATCCAAAACAAATAAACTGTTTTTTACCAAAATTAAAGTGTCAAATTTGAGAGATTAATGCAATTTGCTAAACCTAAACCTAAGCCTGATGCACCTTCATAACCAATTTAAAAGAAGGGCTAAGCGGCTCGAGTGGGCGAGTCGGAGGGTCTTAGCAGTGATATCGGGGGTTCGAATCCTATACCGCCCCCTTTATTTCGAAAAATTCCATGTAAAAATGTGAATGTTACCAGCGGTCTCCTTGGTAGGAGGGAAGGGCCAAATCTGATAGGTGGTAAAGAGGAGGCCCCATTCTGAACAGAAGATCTGGAATACAAATGGGAAGCGAGCATAATGCGTAGTCAAATCATGGAAGATTAGTAGAAATGCCATTAGGGTGTAGGTGACCCTTCCCTTCTAGTATATTACCCACAATTATATATAAATAAATTGGTATACGTATTATAATAATGTATAAGTAATTATATATAGGGCCCCTATCCCGAGTGCATGTAACCATGTGCGAGTATGTATGTATGTATATAACCAATTTAATTTAAACTTTTTAAATATTGAAGAAAAAATATATCATTAAATAGTTAATTAGAAGGAAAAAATGAAGAAAAAATATGAAATAATAAGAAATTAATTAATAATAATAGCAAAAGTTGAAAATAAAATTATGAGCTAAATTAACAAAGAAAGAACAATAAAAAGCAAGCACAATAAAAAGAAAAAGAAAAAAGAGCTTTATTGTTTTTAATTAGTTTTTATAATTAAAAATATCACAATCCAAAACAAATAAACTGTTTTTACCTAAGTTCAAGTGTCAAATTTGAGAGATTAATGCAATTTGCTAAAGCAGAACCTAAGCCTGATGCACCTTTATCACCAATTTAATTTCTACTTTTTAAATATTGAAGAAAAAATTTATCATTAAATAGTTAATTAGAAGGAAAAAATGAAGAAAAAATATGGAATAATAAGAAATTAATTAATAATAAAATCAAAAGTTGAAAATAAAATGATAAGCTAAATTAACAAAGAAAGAACAAAAAAAAGTAAGCACAATAAAAAGAAAAAGAAAAAAGAGCTTTATTGTTTTTAATTAGTTTTTATTATTAAAAATATCACAATCCAAAACAAATAAACTATTTTTACTCAAGGCAAAGTGTCAAATTTGAGAGATTAATGCAATTTGCTAAAGCAGAACCTAAGCCTGATGCTCCAATTGCACCAATTACACCAATTTAATTATTTCTTTTTAAAAATTGAAGAAAAAATAAAGCAAAAGTTGAAAATAAAATAATGAGCTAAATTAATAAAGAAAGAACAAAAGAAAGTACAATAAAAAGAAAAAGAAAAAAGAGCTTTATTGTTTTTAATTAGTTTTTATAATTAAAATATCACAATCCAAAACAAATAAACTATTTTTACCCAAGGTTAAGTGTCAAATTTGAGAGATTAATACAATTTGTTAAAGCAGAACCTAAGCCTAATGCACCTTCATCATCAATTTAATTTTCCCTTTTTAAATATTGAAGAAAAAATATATCATTAAATAGAGTAAGTTACCATATAAATTTACAAAAAGTGAGTTTTATATACCAGTTTTTACATTTTTTTTTATGAATTTTTTTCCATCGTAGGTTTTCAAAATTAATTTTTTTCAAAAAAAAAGATATGTTATGATTTCTAAAAATTAGCTTTATTTATAATGTTATTAAGATATAAATTAAATAGGTATTTCACTCTAGTTAATTAGGAGGAAAAAATGAAGAAAAGTATTTTAAATTTACTTTTATAATTAAAAATATTACAATGTTAAACAGGTAAATAGCTTTTATTAAGTGTAAATTTTAATAGCAAAAAATGAAGAAAAAATATCAAATAATAAAAATGAATAATAAATTATTTAAAATTGAAATGAAAATTAAATTAAAATAGCTAAAAAATTTTAGTTTTAACAAAAACCAATAAATAAATAATGATGATAATTTTTTTTAAAAAAATTATTTATTTAAATAAATTAAAAAATAAATATACAAAAAATATCAATAATAATAAAAATAATATTTTTTAATTCAATATACTATAGATCAATATTGAGAACCTAATGAGATAAAAGTGAAGAGCTTAAAAACTTATATTATTAATTTATATAAATTTAAAGGATATTAATAAAAAAATTAATAATTACTTCTTCCAGATTATTATATTCTTTAATCTATTATATCATTTTTTTTTTTTTCAAAAATATTGAATAGCAATTTATGAAATTTAATTAATTAATTAATAATAAATGGATATAAAGAATAATTAAATATAATAATTAATTAATTATCAAATATTAATTTATATATTTGGTTATATGAAGAGATATCACATACAAATTAATTTAGCATTCACTATTTAAACTTAATATTTGTATTTAAAAAATATACTTAAAAATATAAATAGTAGGAATTAAAGATGACCAGTAATTTATTTAGTAATATTTGAAAAAAACCTAGTAGTTAATGTTCTTAAATATTATAAAAATAATGTTTATAAGTAGATTTTTCTGTTTTAAGTCTGTAATTTTAGGAATATTTATAATATCTCTAATTATAGCAAGATGCCATACAAAAATTTCATGGTTTACCTGACTTATTATGAAATATATTTTTTATTTATTTTGTTTATTAAAAAATCTGATTTATATATATTTAAATATTTTTAATAGAATTATAATTAATTTATAATTTAATCTATTATAATTTCAAAAATAAATAATTTTTTTACATCATACCTGAAATCAAAATATTTTATTAAAAAATATAATATTCTTCTTAATTTTAAAACTTATTAATAAATAAAAATAAAATAAATTATATTTTAACTGAAGTAATAAAAGTTTGAGTTAAATTAGACAAATAAATGTCCTAATTAGAGAGATTTTATAAAACATATTTTATATCTCTCTTTTTTTTCACCAATAGATATTATTTATTTTATAAAATAATTGATAAAACAAAGTCAAAATAAGAAAAATAATTATAATAGTTATACACTTTTAATAAATTTAAAAATCATTTATTTTTTTTATTTTAATTATTATTTATATTTTATTATTTTTTCTATCCGTAAATCATTTTGTTAAAAAGAAAGTATAATTGCAATTAAATAATACTTATAAAATTAGATTAAGGGAAAAACAATAATTTAAATTTGATTTTGAAATACATTAAGTGTTTTTAAAAATAAGTCAATAGATATTTTAATAAAAAATAGGAATGGCGTCTTTTTCAATAGGACTATTAATATTATTCTAAAATTAGACTTTTTAAGTTTAAATGATCAAGATATTTGAGGATCTTAAAAGCAAAATTTTTAGCAAGTTTAATATCATAGATTAGGAAGAGATTGTATTTTAATATAAACTTTTTGATTCAGATAGTGATGATTGATTAATTAATTGACATATATGATAATGATGATTATAATAGTTTTTTAGAAATGAATCATAGAATAAAATAAATACCCTTAAATCCAGGTAAAAAGAAATTAAAACTAGTAGAATATTTAATGACACTAAAAAATAATTGAAAAAAATAATCCAATATTATCATAAGACAGCTATTAATCAGGAGAAGAGAACTTAGCAGATGAAATAACAATCATCATAATAGATAAATAATTACTTTGCAAAGAAATAGAAAATTTAATAGAATAAGGAGTAGAAAGAGATTAAATGCTTATTTTAATAGATGATTAGGGTTTCTAATATAAAGCGAGAAGATATTTTGCAAATAAATGTTCAGTACTACAGGTGTCCTAAAAAAATCTGCTCTTCTACTTTTACTTTATATCCAAAAAAAGAATAAGATCAAATAAAGATAAAATAGCATAAATCAAATAATAAAGTAAATATTTAATTATTTTATCTATCAAATTTTAATCTATTTCAATTTATTTTTAATAAATATTTTTATAAATTAATTTATTATTTAAATTATAAAAAGGCGAGTTGGAGTATTTAAGTAGGTTAGATGACGATGATTATAATTATTTAGTTTAAATTCTTAGTGTAGATGATAATGTCTTATATAAAGGATATTAGTAATGCGAACCCAGTAGAAAATAAAATTCTCAATAAATATGATAATAAATCTAATTACAAAAATACATGAAAATTTAATGAAATTAGTTAATACTACCCTCATAAAAAAATAAATTTCACTCTTAATGAATATGAGGTCCTTATAATCAAAATACATCAAAAATATATGACTCTCATTTTTACTCATCAATTTTTTCATTCAAAAACAAAGGAAGAAGAAGAACATTAAGTTTTATCTAAATTTTGTTTTTTTATTTTTTATAAATAATTTATTTACTTACAAAAATAAATATGAATGATATTTATAAATATAAAATCAATAATAAAATTTATATATCTATCTATTTATATTTTAGGTTAAAAACACTTTTTCAAAATATTAAATAATAAATATATAATATTATTCAAACATTTTATATTTATTCATCTTTTTTTCACCAGTTATTTATCAAAAGAAACTAAAGACAACTAATCTTTTTGATTTACGACACTTCCTTATTACTTTGAATTTTTATGATTTATTCATTGAGCTAATACTTTTATAATAAATTTGTGTAAATTTTAAATAAATATCAAATAAAATAAACTTTTAAATTAAAAATTATTTTTTAAATTAATAAATAAAATAATATTAGTGCAATAAAAAAGATAAAAAATTAAAATAAATAAAAGCAATCAAATAAATTCAAAGAGCTTTTTTGTTTTATATTCAATTTAATAGTTTAAAATATCACAATCCAAAACAAATAAAATGTTTATACTAAAGGTCAAGTTTCAAATTTTAGAGATTAATGTAATTTGCTAAAGCAGAACCTAAGCCTGATGCACCTTCATGGCCAATTTAATTTCGACTTTTTAAATATTAAAGAAAAAATATATTATTAAATAGTTAATTAGAAGGAAAAAATGAAGAAAAAATATGAAATAATAAAATTAATTAATAATAAAAGCAAAAGTTGAAAATAAAATGATGAGCTAAATTAACAAAGAAAGAACAAAAAAAAGCAAGCACAATAAAAAGAAAAAGAAAAAAGAGCTTTATTGTTTTTAATTAGTTTTTATAATTATAATATCACAATCCAAAACAAATAAACTGTTTTTACTGAAGAGAAAGTGTCAAATTTGAGAGATTTATGCAATTTGCTAAAGCAGAGCCTAAGCCTGATGCACCCATTGCACCAATTTAATTTCCACTTTTTAAATATTGAAGAAAAAATATATTATTAAATAGTTAATTAGAAGGAAAAAATGAAGAAATAATATGAAATAATAAGATTAATTAATTAATAATAAAAGCAAAAGTTGAAAATAAAATGATGAGCTAAATTAACAAAGAAAGAACAAAAAAAAGCAAGCACAATAAAAAGAAAAAGAAAAAAGAGCTCAGTTGTTTTTAATTAGTTTTTTTAATTAAAATATCACAATCCAAAACAAATAAACTGTTTTTACCACAAAGTCAAGTGCTCAAATTTGAGAGATTAATGCAATTTGCTAAAGCAGAACCTAAGCCTGATGCACCTTCATCACCAATTTAATTCTAACTTTTTAAATATTGAAGAAAAAATATATCATTAAATAGTTAATTAGAAGGAAAAAATGAAGAAAAAATATGAAATAATAAAATTAATTAATAATAAATGCAAAAGTTGAAAATAAAATGATGAGCTAAATTAACAAAGAAAGAACAAAAAAAAGCAAGCACAATAAAAAGAAAAAGAAAAAAGAGCTTTATTGTTTTTAATTAGTTTTTATAATTAAAAATATCACAATCAAAATCAAATAAACTGTTTTTACCCAAAGTTAAGTCTCAAATTTGAGAGATTAATGCAATTTGCTAAAGCAGAACCTAAGCCTGATGCACCCATAGCTGTAATTTAATTGTAACTTTTTTAAATAATGAAGAAAAAATATATCATTAAATAGTTAATTAGAAGGGAAAAATGAAGAAAAAATATGAAATAATAAGAAATAAATAATAAAAGCAAAAGTTGAAAATAAAATTATGAGCTAAATAAACAAAGAAAGAATAAAAAAAAGCAAGCATAATAAAAAGAAAAAGAAAAAAGAGCTTTATTGTTTTTAATTAGTTTTTATAATTTGAAATATCACAATCCAAAACAAATAAAATGTTTATACAAAAGGTCAAGTGTCAAATTTGAGAGATTAATGCAATTTGCTAAAGCAGTACCTAAGCCTGATACATCTTCATTATCAATTTAATTTTGACTTTTTAAATATTGAAGTAAAAATATATCATTAAATAGAGTAAGTTACCATATAAATTTACAAAAAGTAAGTTTTATATACCAGTTTTTACATTTTATAAATTAAAATTTTAAATATTTTTTATCAATTTTTTTCCATCGTAGGTTTTCAAAATTTATTTTTTTCAAAAAAAAAGATATGTTATGCTTTCTAAAAATTAACTTTATTTATAATGTTATTAAGATATAAATTAAATAGGTATTTCACTCTAGTTAATAAGGAGGAAAAAATGAAGAAAAATATGATAAGATTAATTAATAATTAATAAAATTAACAAATAATGAAAAAATATGAATTATAATAAAAACAATAAGGAAAACAAATCAAATAAATTAAAAGACTATAATTTTTTAAATTAACTTTTATAATTAAAAATATTACAATGTTAAACTAGTAAATAGCTTTTATTAAGTGTAAATTTTAATAGCAAAAAATGAAGAAAAAATATCAAATAATAAAAAATGAATAATAAATAATATAAAATTGAAATGAAAATTAAGTTAAAATAGCTAAAAAATTTTAGTTTTAACAAAAATCAATAAATAATGATGATAATTTTTTTTATAAAAATTCTTTATTTAAATAAATTGAAAATTAAATATACAAAAAATATCAATAATAATAAAAATAATATTTTTTAATTAAATATACGCTAGATCAATATGGAGAACCTAATGAGATAAAAGTGAAGAGCTTAAAAACTTTTTTTATTAATTTATATAAATTTAAAGGATATTAATAAAAAAATTAATAATTACTTTTTCCAGATTATTATATTCTTTAATCTATTAAATCATTTATTTTTTTTCTCTCAAAAATATTGAATAGCAATTTATGAAATTTAATTAATTAATTAATTAATAATAAATGGATAAAAAGAACAAATAAATATAATAATTAATTAATTATCAAATATTAATTTATATATTTGGTTATATCACATACAAATTAATTTAACATTCACTACTTAAACTTAATATTTGTATTTAAAACATATACTTAAAAATATATATAGTAGGAATTAGAGATGGCCAGTTATTTATTTAGTCATATTTGAAAAAAACTGAATATTAACATTAAAAGCTTTGATTTTTTTGTTAAAATGTGGGATGTTTTTAAAGAAATTTATTTATTTAAGTAAATTTAATTTGTAATTTTCATTTATTTAATAAGCTATTAATTAACTTACTAAAATAAATATAATATTCATAAATATAAAATAAATTAATAATAATATTATTTATCTATGCATATTTTTGGTTAAATTATCTATTTTATTACAAAGTATTATATAATAAAGCCTACTACTTTCTATTACTCAAATATTTTATATTTATTCATCCTTTTTTCATCACAAGTTTATCACCAAAAACAGGTTTATATTTTAATAACAACTAATCTTTTTGATTTAAGACACTCACTTTTTAATTTCAATTCATTTATTTCAACAAAGAAATTATATTATTCACTTTTATATTATTTTAAATTAAAATAAAAAACTAAAAAAATTAAAGAGTATAAAATTTTTTAATTAATTAAAAAATAAAAAAAGATTAGCTGAATAAAAAGAAAAGAAAATTAAATTAAACAAAAAGCTAATAAACAAATTAAAATAGTTATATTGTTTTAAATTAATTTTTATAACTTAGAATATCACAATCCAAAACAAATAAATTTTTTTTACTCAAGAAAAAGTGTCAAAATTGAGAGTGTAGTGGATTTTCCTAAACCACATCCTAAGCCTTATAAACCATAATCAGTAATAATTTTATTGTCACTTTATAAATATATAATTAATTAGTAATTTAAAAAGAAAAGTAAATCAAATAAAAAGCAATAAACAAATTAAAAGAGCTATATATATTGTTTTAAATTCAATTTTATAACTAAAATTATCACAATTCAAAACTAAAAAACTGAATTTACCTAAGATCAAGTGTTAAATTTGAGAGATTAGCGCAATTTGCTAAAGCAGAACCTAAGCATGGTGCACCTTTATCACCAATTTTATTTCCACTATAAATATTGAATAAAAAATATAAAATTAATTAATACTTTATTAGTAGGAAAAAATAAACGAAAATATGAAATAATAAGAAATGAATTAATAAATAAATAAATAAATAAAAAATGTAGAAAATATAAAAATGAGCTAAATTTAGAAAAATACAAGAAAAATAAACATAAGTTCAACAAATAAAAAAAAGAAAGTAAATCAAATAAAAAAATAATAAATAAATTAAAATATTATATTGTTTTAAATTCATTTTTATAACTAAAAATATCAAAATCCATAACAAATAAACTGAATTTACCTAAGGTAAAGTGTCAAATTTGAGAGATTAATGAAATTTACTAAATTAGAACCTAAGCCTTATACACCAAGGTCACCAATTTTATTATAACTTTTGAAATAATGAATAAAAAATATGCAATTAATTAGTAATTTGGTAGGAAAAAATGAAAAGAAAATATGAAATAATAAGATATGAATTAATAGATAAAAAAAGCAAATCAATAATATTAAAAATGACTTAAATTTAGAAAGATGGAAGAAAAATAAACATAAGTTCAATAAAAAAGAAAAAGATAATAAATCAAATAAAAAGCTAATAAATAAATTAAAAGAGTTATATAGTTTTAAATTCATTTTTATAACTAAAAATATCACAATCCAAAATAAATAAACTGAATTTACCTAAGATTAAGTACCAAATTTGAGAGATTAGTGCAATTTGCTAACGCAGAACCTAAGCCTTATGCACCAATGTCACCAATTTTATTTTTACTTTTGAAATATTGAATAAAAAATTCTATTAATTAGTAATTTGATAGGAAAAAATGAAAAGAAAATATGAAATAATAAAAAATGAGTTAAATTTAGAAAGATGCAAGAAAAATAAACACAAGTTCAATAAAAAAGGAAAAAAAAGTGAATCAAATAAATAAATTAAAAGAGTCGTTTTATTTTAAATTCATTTTTATGAGTAAAAATGTCACAATCCAAAACAAATAAACTGAATTTACTTAAGATAGAGTACCAAATTTGAGAGATTAGTGCAATTTGCTAAAGCAGAACCTAAACCTAATGCTCCGTTAGCACCAATTTTATTACTACTTTTTAAATATTCAATAAAAAATATAAATTTTTTATAATTACTAATTTAGTAAGAAAAAGTGAAATGAAAATATTAAATAATAAGAAATGAATTAGTAAATAAAAAAAATCATATCTAGAATATAAAAAAATGAGTTAAATTTAGATAGATAGAAGAAAAATAAACATAAATTTCAATAAAAAATAAATAAAAAAAATAAATCAAATAAAATCTAATAAACAAATTAAAAGATCAATATTATTTTAAATTCAATTTTATAACTAAAAATATCACAATCCAAAACTAATAAACTATTTTTACCGAATAAAAAGTGCCAAATTTGAGAGATTAGTGCAATTTGCTAAAGCAGAGCCTAAGTCTGATGTACCTTTATCACCAATTTTATTTTTACTTTTTAGATATTAAATAAAAAATAAATTATTAATTTAGTAGGAAAAATGAAAAGAACTTATGAAATAATAAGAAACAAATTAAATTGACAAATATAAAAGAAAAATAAACACAAGTAAAATAAAAAAGAAAAAGAAAAGTAAATTAAATTAAATAAAAGCAATAAACAAATTTAATATCACAATCCAAAACAAATAAACTGAATTTACCTAAGATCAAGTGTCAAATTTGAGAGATTAGTGCAATTTGCTAAACCAGAACCTAAGTATGATACACATTTATCACCAATTTAATTCTCACTTTTTAAGTATTCAATAAAAAATATATATTAATTAGCAATTTATTCGGAAAAAAATGAAACAAAAATATGAAATAATAAGAAAAAATCAATACATAATAAAACCAAAGAAAGAAAATAAGAAAATGAGTTAAATTTAGAAAGAAGAGCATATAAAAGAAAAAAGAAAAAGAAAATTAAATCAAATAAAAAGTAATAATCGAATTAAAAGAGTTAAATTGTTTTAAATTCAATTATATAACTAAAAATGTCACAATCCAAAACAAATAAACTGTTTTTACTCAATGTAAAGTGCCAAATTTGAGAGATTAGTGCAATTTGCTAAACCAGAACCTAAGCTTAATGTACCTTAATCACCAATTTAATTGTTTCTTTTTAAATATTGAAGAAAAATATATTATTAATTAGTTATTTGATAGGAAAAAATAAAAAGAAAATATGAAATAATTTTAATAAAAAAAGCAAATCTAGAATATAAAAAAATGAGTTAAATTTAGAAAGATAGAATAAAATAAATATAAGTTCAATAAAAAAGAAAAAGAAAAGTAAATCAAATAAAAACCAAAAAACAAATTAAAAAAGCTCTTTTGTTTTAAATTCAATTTTATAAGTAATAATACCACAATCCAAAACAAATAAACTAAATTTACCTAAGATTAAGTGTCAAAATTGATAGATTAGTGTACTTTACTAAAGTAGAACCTAAGCCTTATGCGCCTATTGCTCCAATTTCATTCATGCTTGTTAAATTTTGAATAAAAAATATATAATTAATTAATAATTTAGTAGGAAAAAATCAAAAGAAAATACTAAATAATAAGAAATGAATTAATAATTAAAAAAATATAAAAAATAAAAATGAGTTAAATTTAAATATATAGAAGAAAAATAAACATTAATTCAATAAAAAAGAAAAAGAAAAGTAAATTAAACAAAAAGCAATAAACAAATTAAAAGAGCTATATATAGTATTTTAAATTCAATTTTATAACTAAAAATATCATAATCCAAAACTAATAAATTAATTTTACCAAAGAGAAAGTGTCAAATTTGAGATATTAGTGCAATTAGCTAAAGCAGAACTTAAGCCTGATGCACCTTAAGCACCAATTTAATTACCACTTTTTAAATATTTAATAAAAAGCTTATAATTAATTAGTACTTATGTATGAAAAAATTAAAAGAAAATATGAAATAATAAGAAATGAATTAATAAATAAATAAATAAATAAAAGCAAATTTAGAAAATTACAGAATCAACAAAATTGACAAATATAAAGGAAAAATTAAAAAAAAGTCAAATAAAATAAAAGAAAATTAAATCAAATAAAAAGAAATAAACAAATTAAAAGAGCTATTTTGTTTTAAATTCAATTTTATAAGTAAAAATATCACAATCCTAAACAAATAAACTGAATTTACCTAAGATGAAGTGCCAAATTTGAGAGATTAGTGCAATTTGCTAATGCAGAGCCTAAGCATGATGCACCTTGAGGACGAATTTGATTGGTACTTTTGAAATATTGAATAAAAAATATACAGTTAATTAGTAGTTTAGTTGGAAAAAATGAAATAATAAGAAAAGAATTAATAAATAATATAAGCAAATATTGAAAATAATATAATCAATTTAATTGGCAAATATAGATAAAAAATAAATATAAGTCAAATAAAAAAGAAAAAGCTTGTTTTAAATTCTTTTTTATAACTAAAAATATCACAATCCAAAACAAATAAACTGAATTTACCTAAGATCAAGTACCAAATTTGAGAGATTAGTGCAATTTGCTAAAGCAGAGCCCAATTCTGATGCACCTTTATCACCAATTTCACTGATACTTTTTAAATATTGAATATAATTAGTAATTTAGCATTAAAAAATGAAAAGAAAATATGAAATCATAAGAAATGAATTAAATTGACAAATATAAAAGAAAAAGAAAAGTAAATCAAATAAAAAACAAATAAAACAAATTTAAAGAGCTAATTAATTTGTTTTAAATTCAATTTTAAAACTAAAAATATCACAATCCAAAACAAATAAACTGAATTTACCTAAGATCAAGTACCAAATTTGAGAGATTAGTGCATTTAGCTAAAGCAGTACCTAAATCTGATGCATCTTAATCGCTGATTTAATTATTTCTTTTTAAATATTGTAAGAAAAAATAAATAATTAATTAGTAATTTTAAAGGAAAAAATTAAAAGAAAATATGAAATAATAAGAAATAAATTAATAAATAATAAAAGTAAATCTAGAAAATATTAAAATGAGTTAAATTTAGAAAGATAAAAGAAAAATAAACATAAGTTCAATAAAAAAGAAAAAGCAAATTAAATCAAATAAAAAGTAATCAACAAATTAAAAGAGCATTATTGTTTTAAATTTAATTTTATAAGTAAAAAAATCACAATCCAGAACAAATAAACTATTTTTACCTAAGATAAAGTGTCAAATTTGAGAGACTATCCAAAAATTTTATAAAAATTATTTTTGTAAAAATTTAGGATATAATGTGTTTTGTTTCATATGCTTCTAGTGCTTCTAATGCTTCTAGTGCATCTGATGCATCTAGTGCATCAAGTGTTGCATCTAATGCATCAATTGTTTCAAGTTTTTAATTTAATATAAATAAAATAAAATATAAAAATAAATAAATGTATTAACTACTATTAAATATTTCATTTAAGATGTATTCTGAGTGCATTTCTATGTGCGAGTATTTCATTCATTCATCATCACCAATTTTACTCCCACTTTATAAATATAGAAGTAGAAAAAAACAATTAATTCGTAATTTTCTAGGAAAATATGAAATGAATTAATAAATAATAAAACAAATATTGAAAATTACAAAATCAATTAAATTGACAAATATAGAAGAAAAATAAATAAAAGTCAAATAAAAAAGAAAAGTAAATCAAATAAAAAGCAATAAACAAATTTAAAGAGCTACATTGTTTTAAATTCAATTTTGTAACTAAAAATATCACATAAAAAAAGAAATAAACTGAATTTACTTAAGATTAAGTGTCAAATTTGAGAGGTTAGTACAATTTGCTAAAGCAGAACATAAGCCTGATGCACGTTTATCACCAATTTTTTTTTTGCTTTTGAAATATTGAATAAAAAATACAATTAATTAGTAATTTAGTAGGAAAAAATTAAAAGAAAATATGAAATAATAAGAAATGAAAATAAAAATATAAAAAATAAAAAAGTGAGTTAAATTTAGATAGATAGAAGAAAAATAAACCCAAGTTAAATAAAAAAGAAAAAGAAAAGTAAATTAAATAAAAATTTAAAAAACAAATTAAACGAATTTTATTGCTTTAAATTTAATTTATATGTAAAAATATCACAATCCAAAACTAATAAACAATTTTTTATCAATTAGAAATTTTATAAATAAAAATGAATATTTCAATAATTTAGGATAAAAATTAAATTAAAATAACAAAAAAAAGATTTATAAATAAAATTTACTAATTTAGGGGATAATTTCAATTAGAAAAATAAAATTTTCAATGAACTGAAAGTTAAATATATAAAAAATATTAATTAATAATAATAAAAATAATAGTAAAAAATTAAATATACGCCAGATTAATATAGAGAACCTAATGAGATAAAAGTGAAGAGCTTAAAAACTTTTTTTATTAATTTAAATAAATTTAAAAGATATTGATAAAAAAATTAATAATTACTTCTTTTAATTTTTAGTATTCTTTAATCTATTACATCATCTATTTTTTTTTTCAAAAAAATTGAAAAGCAATTTATGGAAATTTAATTAATTATAAGTGGATAAAAGAACAAAAATTATATCAATTTATAGATTTGCTTTAAGTAGGAGAAATTCACAAAAAAATTAATATAACATTCATTATTCAATCTTTTTTTTCTATTTAAATTGTGTGCTTAAAAATATAGTATAAACTGGAGATTTGATATAAAATATAATGAGAATGCGAACTCACTAGAATAAAATAAAATTTTTAGGTATTTAGAGTTAAATTAATTGAAAAATCGTAAAGATTAAATATAAATAAATTATAAATATTATTAATTAAATTCTATTATATAATTATTTATTTTTATATAAATTACATTTAAACACATCAGCCATAAAACCAAAATAAAAAAAGCAAGAAGACTAACCTACTAGTTAGCATTCAATTTTTAAATAAAAACTTATTGAAATTCCGCTGACATTATGTATGTATCCAGTCAGCGGAATTTCAATACCTGGATTAGCAATAATTCATATTGATTTTAGCACATTTTAATCTATTACACCAAAATAATCTTTATTAATTGATTCATTGAATTTACTTTATCAAATTTTGATGACGTATAAAAAAATATCTAAAAATAAATAATATATTTATTTTTATAAAAGTGTTTTATTTTTTTTAATTTTCATAGAACTAATTTATAAAATAAAAGTATTTTTAAACAGAAAATACCTTTATAAATTAGATATAAGAAATAATTAAAAAAATAATTAATTTAAATCAAATACTGTGATTAATTTCATTAAATATTAAGAAAAACATCTAAAGCAAATACTTTATAAAATGGGTGTATAAGTTATCTAAAATTTTGAAATAAACGATTTAAAATAAATGTTTGTTTCTGTCTCTTTAGCAGAAGAAGATAGAGAATTAATTGCATTTTTAGCTGGTGCTCAATACGCTTACGGCAAGGTAGAGAGGAGTTCATTAAGTGGTTTAATTGCTTAAATTGCTTAACTAATATAGATATCATAATAGAATGGTTAAAATGAAATTAAACAAGAAATATTTGCATCTCTGGTTAATAACGCATAATAAGAACCTTTTAGATATATCGAAGAACTCTCCAAGAACAGAAATCAATCAAAAATTAGCATAAATAATACTGAGTTAAATGTAAAATTAACTTTTTTATATCCCATTTTTTAAATATTTAGCTTAGAGTATTTATCTTATAAAAGTTTCTCTTAAATAATTAAAAAATAAAAATATTTTATTTACTTTTTATTATTTTTTTGTGTAAATTTTCTTTTTAATAAATAAAAATATTTTCTTTGTTTGATTTAAATTCTAAAATATAAATTCTATTTTATAAAATTGCATGTTCATTTTACAAATTAATGTTTTTTTGAAAGTAGAATCAAGATAAAAAATATGCTTAAGATGAAATAGAAGAGGAAGAAGAAGAAGAAAAGGAAGTATATGATAACAAAAACAAATTAAATTAGTTTGAATACTAATTAAATAAAATGACTTTCAATGAAAGGCAGAATACTTATTGTAATTGCAATATATGCTTTGATTTAAAAGTTAGTGAATAGTTTTTTTACTTAGATTGCAATCATGTTTTTCATAATTAATGCTTCCATGATTACTTATAGCTATAAATAAATTCTGATAATTTTTTGATAAAATGCCCTCATAATGACTGCTGCTACTAAATTCCATAGAGAATCTTAAATGAAGTTTTAAATAAGGAGGAACTAGAAGCCTTAGAACTTAAATCAATAACATCATTTTTATCTTAGAATTAGGTTTAAGTAAATATTCTTTTTTTTAATAATTTATAAGCACATTTTTTTAATTTTTCTGCTTTTATAAATTTTAAAATAATTTATTTTTTATTTATAGATTAAATAATGTCCTACTTTGAATTGCGAATTTACTTTTTCAAATGAAGATAATTTAACAAAGCTTGATTGCCCATATTGTAATAAAATCTACTGTTTAGCTTGCAATTGCTTGTTTCATGATAATTTAACTTGCGAAGAGTATTAAATGTCACTCAATAGTTCTGTAAATTGAAATATTTAATTGCATTTTTATTCATTTTTTTAGTATTTTTAATTTTTTATTAATTTATTTTAACTCTATTATAAAATAAAGCAATCAAAAGACAAAATGTCAGAAGCTTAAAATAAGAATTAAAACATATCTGCTTAAAAACCTAAAATTTCTAATGAATAAATATAAACTGAAATAAAAGAAGTTTAATAAGGCTTAGATAATGAAAATGATTGGGTCTGTGAAATATGTTATGAAAATATGACTAGCAAAGACTATATACCTCTTTTATGTGATCATATTTTCCATAAAAATTGTTTAGCTTAATATTTTACTACCTAAATAAATGAAAAGAAGTTTCCTTTAAAGTGCCCAAATTCTAATTGCACTCTACCTATCAATTAATAAGACTTGAGGGAAGTCTTGAATGAAATTGAAATTTAAAGATATGAGAAATTTAGCTTGTAAAATTATATTGACTCAAACGCAGATGAAGTAAACTTTCTCTATTAAAGCACTTTTTTCATTATTTTTTAATTTTAAAGATATCTTGGTGTCCTACTCCTAACTGCGAATATGCTTTCATTATAGAGAAAGATTAAAATCAGCTTAATTGCCCTAAATGTAATAAGTCTTATTGCTTAAATTGCAAATGCGATTATCATAATGGATAAACTTGTTAAGAATATAAAATATCTAACAATTTTACAGTAAAAATTAACTAAGATTTGCAATTATTCTAACCAAACATTTTATTTAACAATAAAAGGAAGAAGATTAAAAATTTGAATAATTTGTGGCTGGCTAAAAATTTAAGTAATGCTCAAAATGCAAAATGTGGGTTGAAAAAAACTAAGGGTAACTTATTAATAGATAGATATTAGATTTTTAATAGATTTTTAACATATTGGTTTTTATTAAAGGTGTGATCACATGACATGTAGATGTGGCTATTAATTTTGCTATAAGTGTGGAGGAGTTTATTTATAGTGCAATTGCTCATAAGGATATAGATAACTACTACCTTTTTCAAATTTATTTAGGCAACCTATACCTACGTTCTTATACAATCTAAATGATAATGATGATTATTCTAATGACAGTAGTTTAGATGATTTCATTTTTAATTAAAGTAAATTTGCAACCAATTATTAAAATGGTTTGAGATAAAATACGTCTTAATATTCGACGATTAATGATGATTCTTTTGAATTATAAATTAATAACCATAAATAAATAAATGAAAATGAAATTTAGATTAAAAATACTTAAAGCAATTCTCTAAATACTTAAAATTAAATGGTTAATTACAATAGAAAATATTAAAATAGAAATAATAGTACCTAATATTAATTGCTTAAATATCTATAAAGAGAAAACAGAAAACGTAATAACTAAAATTAAAATAGAGATGATGATAATAATAATAATGATAATAATAATAATTAAGATGGTTTTAGAGATCACAATGACTAAAGTTAAAATAAAGATGATAATAATAACTAAAATAAATTGATTAATCAAAAAAGACCTTATTATAAAAACAGAAACCACAATGACTAAAATTAAAAAAGAGATGATAATAATGATAAAAGTAATAATCACTAAGATGATTCGATTTATTAAAGAACAACATATTATAAAGACAGAAATTACAGTGACTAAAACTATTATAGAGATAATAATAATAATAATAATAACTAAGGTGACTTTATTTGTCAAAGAAATCCTTATTATTAAAACATAGATCACAGTGAATAAAATTATGGTAGTGATAATAATTACTAAGATTATTTTTTTAATGAATAGAGACCATATTATTCAAATAAATATTAAAGCTACTAAAATTAAAATAAATTAGGATAAAATAAGTAACTAAATCAGAGAAGCTATTAATAAAACTAAATGAATTTTTAAAATATTAATTAGAACAATTAATCTTTCATAAATGCATAAAACAAACCTGAAAATTCATTAAAAAAGAATGTAAATAATAAAAGTAAAAGCTCCAACAATTAACCGTTTAAGAGCAATAAAATACCAAACCTTACAAAATATTAAGTTCTTAATAATAATAAAAATAGTATTAAAAATAATAAAAATAGTAATAATAATAATAATAATAATAATGAATGATATTTAAGATAAATATTAATATATTTGATAACTCTCAAAAAATTGATTATAAGATTAATGATTACTTAAGGAATATGAAACAACTTTAATTTAAAGAAAACAATAAAAACAAATAGTAATTTACTTTTATTTTATTGTATTTAATAAAACTATAACTGTTTACTAATTGTATGTGCTATATAAGTAAGTAAGTATCTATTTTTATACTTTTTCCTTTATTAAAATTTTCCATCCAAATTTAATTTAAAAATTGATTATAAGATTAATGACTACTTAAGGAAAATGAAACAACTTTAATTTAAAGAAAACAATAAAAACAAATAGTTATTTACTTTTATTTTATAGTATTTAATAAAATTATAACTGTTTATTAATTGTATGTGCTATATAAGTAAGCAAGTATCTATTTTATTCTTTTTCATTTATTAAAATTTTCCATGTGAATTTAATTTAAAAATTTAAAGATAAGCAATTATTTATCATTTATTTTATAGCACTTGCAGGTAGGTATTAAATTCTTATAGATTTGGAAAATTAAGAATTTAATTCATAGATTTGTTATTTTAAAATAGATTAATTAAATAATTTTATTTTAATTTTAATTGTAAAATATAAAAATTTTATAATATAAATATGTAATTTAAGAAATTCTATTATAAATTTTAAATAGATTTTTATTTTTTTTATATTATTTTTGTATATGCTTAATTATTTTAAAAGAAAATATTAATTTATTTAATTCATAATCAAATATTCCAAACTCTTTTGGAAAAATGTTAAAAATTTGGAAAAATTATTGCAAATATTTTTGAAAAAAAAATAAATGATAAATAGATTAATACATATTACAAATTAGAAGAAGTAATTATTAATTTTTTTTAATATCATTTAAATTTATATAAATTAATAAAAAAAGTTTTTAAACTCTTCATTTTTATATCATTATGTATTCAGTATTTATCTGATGTATATTTAATTAAAAAATATTGATTTGATTATTATTAATATTTTTTATGCATTAAATTTTCATTTTATTTAAATAAATAGTTTTTGTAAGAGAAATTATCATCATTATTCGTTCATTTATTGATTTTATTAAAACTAGAATTTTTTAGCATTTTAACTTAATATTATTCACTTTATTATTTGATATTTTTTCTTAGTTTTTGGCTATTAAAACTTACACTTAATAAAAGCAGTTAATTAGTTTTGTAATGTAATATTTTTAATATTAAAAGCTAATTTAAAACATTAAAGCTCTTTTAATTTATTTGATTTATTTTCCTTTTTCTTTTTATTATGATTTCTTTTTTTTCATTCTTTGTTAATTATATTATTTATTAATTTATCTGATTATTTCATATTTTTTCCTTCTAATTAACTAGAGTGAAATGGCTATTTAATTTATAAAAGGCGAAATGTAATTTATTTTACTAACATAATAAATAAAGCTTAATTAATTAGCTTAAAACAGCTTTTTTTATTTTTGAGTTTTTAGAAAGCTTTAAATTTACAATATGTAAAATTTGAAATAAAATATACATATCCTATATTCTAATCACATATCATTTTTTTTGAAAAAATAAATTTTTAATAATTTTACTAACTCAATAATCAAGAGTTTCGCAAAATATAATATTAAAAATTTTTTTTGATTTTAATTACATACCTTAGATTCTCGTTAATTAAGGACCAGTTTAATTATGGACTTTTTTGAGTGGTATTTCATCACCATATAGTACTCCTGGTGTTTGGGGTGGGGGTTTGTGAGAATTAAAGAGAATTTATGATATATAAATCAGATTTTTTAATGAATAAATATATAAAAGATATATTTCATAATAAGCTAGGTAAACCATTAAATTTTTGTATGGCATCTTGCTATAATTAGAGATATTATAAATTTTCCTAAAATTACAGAGCTAAAAAAGAAAAATCTACTTATAAACAATATATTTATAATATTTAAGAACATTAACTACTAGGTTTTTTTCAAATATGACTAAATAAATAACTGGCCATCTCTAATTCCTACTATATATATTTTTAAGTATATGTTTTAAAAACAAATTTTAAGTTTAAGTAGTGAATGTTAAATTAATTTTTATCTGATATCTCTTCATAGAACTAAATATATATATTAATATTTGATAATTAATTAATTAATTATTATATTTATTTATTCTTTGTATCCATTTATTATTAATTAATTAATTAATTAAATTTCATAAATTGCTATTCAATATTTTTGAAAAAAAAAATAAATGATATAATAGATTAAATATTACACAAAATTATAAGAAGTAATTATTAATTTTTTTATTAATATCCTTTAAATTTATATTTATTAATAAAAAAAGCTTAAAAGCTCTTCACTTTTATCTCATTAGGTTCTCCATATTGATCTTTAGTATATTTAATTAAAAAATATTATTTTTATTATTATTGATATTTTTTGTATATTTAATTTTCAATTTATTTAGATAAATAATTTTCATAAAAAAAATTATCATCATTATTTATTTATTGATTTTTGTTAAAACTAAAATTTTTTAGCTATTTTAACTTAATTTTCATTTCAATTTTTAATTAATTATTTATTATTCATTTTTTTTATTTGATATTTTTATTAAAACTTACACTTAATAAAAGCTATTTATTTGTTTTACATTGTAATATTTTAATTATAAAAGTTAATTTAAAACATTATAGTTCTTTTAATTATGATTTCTTATTTTTTCATTTTTTGTTAATTTTATTAATTATTAATTAATCTTATCATATTTTTTCTTCATTTTTTCCTCCTAATTATCTAGAGTGAAATACCTATTTAATTTATATTTTAATAACATTATAAATAAAGCTAATTTTTAGAAAGCATAACATATCTTTTTTTTTGAAAAAATAAATTTTGAAAACCTAGGATGGAAAAAAATTCATAAAAAATATTTAAAATTTTAATTTTATAAAATGTAAAAACTGGTATATAAAACTCGTTTTTTGTAAATTTGTATGGTAACTTACTCTATTTAATGATATATTATTTCTTCAATATTTAAGAAGGGGCAAATATATTGGTGATAAAGGTGCATCAGGCTTAGGTTCTGCTTTAGCAAATTGCATTAATCTCTCAAATTTGACACTTGAACTCCAGTAAAAACAGTTTATTTGTTTTGGATTGTGATATTTTAATTATAAAAACTAATTAAAAACAATAAAGCTTTTATTTCTTTTTCTTTTTATTGTGCTTGCTTATTTTTGTTCTTTGTTAATTTAGCTCATCATTATTTTCAACTTTTGCTTTTATTATTAATTAACTAATCTTATTATTTCATATTTTTTCTTCATTTGTTCCTTCTAATTAACTATTTAATGATATATTTTTTCTTCAATATTTTAAAAGTTCGAATAAAATTGGTGATAAAGGTCTATCAGGCTTAGGCTCTGGTTTAGCAAATTGCATAAATCTCTCAAATTTGAAACTTGGTCTTCAGTAAAAACAGTTTATTTGTTTTGGATTGTGATATTTTAATTATAAAAACTAATTTAAAACAATTAGCTCTTTTTTCTTTTTATTGCGCTTGCTTTTTTTAGTGTTATTTCTTTGTTAATTTAGCTCATCATTATTTTCAACTTTTGCTTTTATTATTAATTAACTAATCTTATTATTTCATATTTTTTCTTCATTTGTTCCTTCTAATTAACTATTTAATGATATATTTTTTCTTCAATATTTTAAAAGTTCGAATAAAATTGGTGATAAAGGTCTATCAGGCTTAGGCTCTGGTTTAGCAAATTGCATAAATCTCTCAAATTTGAAACTTGGTCTTCAGTAAAAACAGTTTATTTGTTTTGGATTGTGATATTTTAATTATAAAAACTAATTTAAAACAATTAGCTCTTTTTTCTTTTTATTGCGCTTGCTTTTTTTAGTGTTATTTCTTTGTTAATTTAGCTCATCATTTTATTTTCAAATTTTGCATTTATCATAAATTAATCAATTATTTCATATTTTTTATCCATTTTTTCCTTCTAATTAACTATTTATTTATATATTTTTCTTTAATATCTAAAAAGTTATAATTAAATTGATGATGAAGGTGCATCAGGCTTAGGTTCTGCTTTGGCAAATTGCATTAATCTCTCAAATTTAACACTTGAACTTCGGTAAAAACTGTTTATTTGTTTTGGATTGTGATATTTTAATTATAAAAACTAATTAAAAACAATAAAGCTCTTTTTTATTTTGTTTTTACTGTGCTTGCTTTTTTTTGTTCTTTCTTTGTTAATTTAGCTCATCATTTTATTTTCAACTTTTGCTTTTATTATTCATTAATCTTATTATTTATTATTTTTTCTACATTTTTTCCTTCTAATTAACTATTTAATGATATATTTTTTCTTTAAAATTTAAAAAGTTCGAATAAAATTGGTGATAAAGGTGTATCAGGCTTAGGTTCTGCTTTAGCAAATTGCATAAATCTCTCAAATTTGACACTTGAACTTGGGTAAAAACAGTTTATTTGTTTTGGATTGTGATATTTATAATTACAAAAACTAATTAAAAACAATAAAGCTCATTTTTTTTTGTTTTTACTGTGCTTATTTTTTTTGTTCTTTTTTGTTAATTTAGCTCATCATTTTATTTTCAACTTTAGCTTTTATTATTAATTAATCTTATTATTCATTTTTTCCTTCAAATTAACTATTTAATAATATATTTTTTCTACAATATTTAAAAAGTGAAAATTAAATTGGTGCAATGGGTGCTTCTGGTTTAGGTCCTGCTTTGGCAAATTGCATAAATCTCTCAAATTTGAAACTTTATCTTCAGTAAAAACAGTTTATTTGTTTTGGATTGTGATATTTTAATTATAAAACTAATTAAAAACAATAAAGCTCTTTTTTCTTTTTCTTTTTACTGTGCTTGCTTTTTTGTTATTGTTTATTTGTTAATTTAGATCATCATTTTATTTTCAACTTTTACTTTTATTATTAATTAATTAATCTTATTATTTCATATTTTTTCTACATTTATTCCTTCTAATTAACTTTTTAATGATATATTTTTCCTTCAATATTTTAAAAGTTGCAATTAAATTGGTGATGAAGGTGCATCAGGCTTAGGTTCTGCTTTAGCAAATTGCATTAATCTCTCAAATTTGACACTTTATCTTAAGTAAAAACAGTTTATTTGTTTTGGATTGTGATATTTTAATTATAAAAACTAATTAAAAACAATAAAGCTTTTTATTCTTTTTCTTTTTATTGTGCTTTCTTTTTTTTGTTATTCATTTGTTAATTTAGCTCATCATTTTATTTTCAACTTTTGCTTTTATTATTCATTAATCTATTATTTCATATTTTTTCTCCATTTTTTCTTTCTAATTAACTATTTATTTAATGATATATTTTTTCTTCAATATTTAAAAAGTTCGAATAAAATTGGTGATAAAGGTGTATCAGGCTTAGGTTCTGGTTTAGCAAATTGCATTAATCTCTCAAATTTGACACTTGACCTTGGGTAAAAACAGTTTATTTGTTTTGTATTGTGATATTTTAATTATAAAAACTAATTAAAAACAATAAAGCTCTTTTTTCTTTTTCTTTTTATTGTGCTTGTTTTAGTTTGTTATTTCTTTGTTAATTTAGCTCATCATTTTATTTTCAACTTTTACTATTATTATTAATTAATTAATCTTATAATTTCATATTTTTCTACATTTTTTCCTTGTAATTAACTATTTAATGATATATTTTTTCTTTAATATTTAAAAAGTATAAATGAAATTGGTACAATGGATGCATCAGGCTTAGGTTCTGCTTTAGCAAATTGCATTAATCTCTCAAATTTGACACTTGACCTTCGGTAAAAACAGTTTATTTGTTTTGGATTGTGATATTTTAATTATAAAAACTAATAAAAAACAATAAAGCTCTTTTTTCTTTTTAATTTGCTTGCTTTTTTTTGTTCATTTTTTATTAATTTAGCTCTTCATTTTATTTTAAACTTTTGCTTTTATTATTAATTAATCTTATTATTTGATTTTTTTCTTCATATTTTCTTTCTAATTAACTATTTAATGATATATTTTTCTTCAATATTTAAAAAGTTCTAATTTAATTGGTGATGAAGGTGCATCAGGCTTAAGTTCTGTTTTAGCAAATTGCATAAATCTCTCAAATTTGACACTTTATCTTAAGTAAAAACAGTTTATTTGTTTTGGATTGTGATATTTTAATTATAAAAACTAATTAAAAACAATAAAGCTTTTTATTCTTTTTCTTTTTATTGTGCTTGCTTTTTTTTGTTATTTCTTTGTTAATTTAGCTCATCATTTTATTTTCAACTTTTGCTTTTTTTATTAATTAATTAATCTTATTATTTATTATTTTTTCTACATTTTTTCCTTCATGATATATTTTTTTCTTCAATATTTAAAAAGTTCGAATAAAATTGGTGATAAAGGTGTATCAGGCTTAGGTTCTGGTTTAGCAAATTGCATTAATCTCTCAAATTTGACACTTGACCTTGGGTAAAAACAGTTTATTTGTTTTGGATTGTGATATTTTAATTATAAAAACTAATTAAAAACAATAAAGCTATTTTTTCTTTTTCTTTTTATTGAGCTTCCTTTTTTTTGTCATTTTTTTGTTAATTTAGCTCATCATTTTATTTTCAACTTTTGCTTTTATTTTTAATTAATCTTATTATTTCATTTTTTCCTTCAAATTAACTATTTAATATTATATTTTTTCTATAATATTTAAAAAGTGGAAATTAAATTGGTGCAATCGGTGCATCAGGCTTAGGCTCTGCTTTAGCTAATTGCATTAATCTCTCAAATTTGACACTTGACCTTCGGTAAAAACAGTTTATTTATTTATGATTGTGATATTTTAATTATAAAAACTAATTAAAAGCAATAAAGGTCTTTTTTCTTTTTCTTTTTATTTTGCTTGCTTTTTTTTGTTCTTTTTTTGTTAATTTATTTAGCTCTTCATTTTATTTTAAACTTTTGATTTTATTATTAATTAATCTTATTATTTGATTTTTTTCTTCATATTTTCTTTCTAATTAACTATTTAATGATATATTTTTCTTCAATATTTAAAAAGTGGCAGTTATATTGGTGATGAAGGTGCATCAGGCTTAGGTTCTGCTTTAGCAAAATGCATTAAAATCTCAAATTTGAGACTTGAACTTCCGTAAAAACAGTTTATTTGTTTTGGATTGAGATATTTTAATTACAAAAACTAATTAAAAACAATAATTCTCTTTTTTCTTTTTCTTTTTATTTTGCTTGCTTTTTTTTGTTATTTCTTTGTTAATTTAGCTCATCATTTTATTTTCAAATTTTTCTTTTATTATTCATTAATCTATTATTTCATATTTTTTCTCCATTTTTTCCTTCTAATTAACTATTTATTTAATGATATATTTTTTCTTCAATATTTAAAAAGTTACAATTAAATTCATGATAAAGGTGCATCAGGCTTAGGTTCTGCTTTAGCAAATTGCATTAATCTCTCAAATTTGACACTTGACCTTGGGTAAAAACAGTTTATTTGTTTTGGATTGTGATATTTTAATTATAAAAACTAATTAAAAACAATAAAGCTCTTTTTTCTTTTTCTTTTTCTTTTTATTATGCTTGCTTTTTTTTATTAATACTTTGTTAATTTAGCTCATCATTTTATTTTCAACTTTTGCTTTTATGATTAATTAATCTTATTTTTTATTTTTTTCTTCATTTTTTCCTTCTAATTAACTACTTAATAATATATTTTTTCTTCAATATTTAAAAAGTGCAAATTATTTTGGTGCAATGGGTGCATCAGGCTTAGGTTCTGCTTTAGCAAATTACATTAATCTTTCAAATTTGAAGCTTGATCTTAAGTAAAAACAGTTTATTTGTTTTGGATTGTGATATTTTAATTATAAAAACTAATTAAAAACAATAAAGCTCTTTTTTATTTTTCTTTCTTTAGCTTGCTTTTTTTTGTTCTTTCTTTGTTAATTTAGCTCATCATTTTATTTTCAACTCTTTCTTTTATTATTAATTAATTAATCTTATTATTTCATATTTTTTCTCCATTTTTTCCCTCTAATTAACTATTTAATGATATATTTTTTCTTCAATATTAAAAAAGTTATAATTAAATTGATGATGAAGGTGCATCAAGCTTATGTTCTGCTTTAGCAAATTGCATTAATCTCTCAAATTTGACTCTTGGTCTTGGGTAAAAACAGTTTATTTGTTTTGGATTTTAATACTTTTATTTATAAAAATTTAAAAACAATATTTTAATTTATTTATTTAACTTATTTTTCTTTTTCTTTTTTATTCTGCTAATGCTTTTTATATTTTAATTGTACTAATAATTTTTAATTAAAAATTTTTTTTCTATTTAATTTTTTTAGAATTTTATTTTAATTTAATAAAAAAGTTAAAACTAAATTGATGAATAATAATAACTGAAAGTAAAAAGCAACTGCCTAAAATCAAAAAGATTAGTTATCTTTGAAATAAATTTCTGATGATATATAATAGCGAAGAAGAATTAATAAATATTAAATATTTGAATAATAGAAAATAGTATGTTTTATTTATTACATAATATTTTGTAATAAGATAACTTAACCTAAAATATAAATAGATTTATTTTTATTTTTTTATTTATGAATATCATTTTTTGTAAGTTAATTTTTATTAACTAGATAGAACTGAAAGTAAAGCGGAAGCAATATTAATTTAAATTCAAATATTTCCCCCCGTATATCTATCTTTTGGGAACAGATAAGTCTAAGTACCTGATGGTTAATACCGGGGATCATTTTTTGCTAGGTTATATCACATTAAATAATTTATTTATAAAATCATATTTATTTTTTGAATTTGAAATTTAATTAGGAATAAATTAACTGGTAGACAGTCAAGTATTCTATTTCTTAATAAATTATTTCAAAAAAATAAATATATTAAATTTTTAAGTAGAAAAACTATTTTATAAATTTGATAAAATCTTTAATATTAAATTAAGTCTTTTTTAAAATTAATTTATGAGTTTTTTTAAATATTATTTTTAATATTTGACAATTTTTTTTTAATGTATTTTGTTTTAAAAACTTTTACATAAGCTTTTACATTTTTTTGTTGATTTATATTTAAAAAAATTAAAAACAGAGATAGTGAGTGAGTGTTTCATTTATTTAAAATTTTCTAAATTTATATTTATTAAAAATAACTTAAAAAAAGCCAACTTTTTTTATGAAATTATTTAATACACTAATATAAAAAAATAAATTTCTTTTTATGATAACTATTCTAAAACTCATTCTATTTACTAATTTGTTTTTTTTTTAAGTATAAAATATTTTTTACAATATTAAAAATGACGAATAATAAAATAATAAAATAATTAAATATAAGCATTTATTGAATCAATCTATTTGATCAAAAAGCCTATTAAAATTACTGATAAATATATGTTGTGTATTTTATTTTTAGTATAATTAATTAATTTATTTACTATTTTTCATCTATTAAATATCAATATTATTTATCTAAATTTTAAATTACTTATGTAAAAGATTATATTACTTTGAAATAAAATAAATAAATAAATAAATAAAGAAATAATTTTATTTAATATTTATAAAATTGATTTGGTACTAAAGTTATTAACAAAAATAATTAATAAACTTTAAAAAATAATTTCCTTTTTAAAAAATGTAAAAAGCGTCGACACTAGGGTTTGAACCTAGGATTAAGGTTCATAAGACCTTCGTGATACCTTCGTGATTACCGCTTCACCATGCCGACTCATGCGATATTTACAAGAACTGCAAACTAAATAATTTTTTCAAGTAAATTAAGTATAAATAAATTAAAATTGGAAAATACAAATTAGTTACCGTAATTTTTTAGCTTAGCTAAGTAAAAAATAATAAGAAAATATCAAAATAAAATTTGATAAATAATTTTCTGTACATAAATTAGATGGGAAATCTTTAAATACTAAAAATTTACAATATTTAACAAATATATATTTTTTAGATTAAAATCTAATCATAAATTAGGTTTATTAAAGAGATGGTTATAGGCATTTCTGCATATCTCTGAATTTAAGCTAGGAAATTCTTTTGCACAAATTTCCACAAATTTATGTACATCTTAAATTTCTTCTCCTTCATTTTGTAATTTGTTGGCTTATATATTTTCACGCACAAACTATTTATCCTACATATTTCTTGCTCCATCCTTATTAAAAGTTAAAATACATAATATTCTATGAAAAGGAGTAAAAGTAGGATCAGTGAATATTCTTTCTTATTCTGCAAGCTCTATATTGTAATCTTAAATAGGTACTAAATGGAATTTTAAGATGACTTTTTCCTATCCTGATGTTTAAGACTTGTGGATACGTAAGATATTTTATTTATTTACATCCCATTTTAGCTTCATAGTTGTGTAAGAAAAACTATAATAAGGAGACTCATCGCCAAAATTAAGAGGTATGGCAAAAGAAGAAGCATATCCAGAACCAACATCAATCATATATTTATCAGCTTTTTAAATCAAATCATTAATAATAATAACCGTGTGATCATTTGGTGAGCTATAAGTACTAATTACTAAATCTGTTTTATATCCAATATTATTTAGGTAAATGTGTAGAAATAGATTTAAAGAATAGCAAAGTCCTCCTTGTCCAGATAAAAGATCATTCTTTACCTCATCCCAAGTAAGTCTTCTTCTTTTTTCTACTGGCGTTGCCAACAAAAACACATTTTAAAATGGTATATTCTCTTAAAAGTTCTATATAATTTAATTTAGATAATCCAAGCTGGACTGATCTTCTCTTTTTGAACTAATCTTTATCCTTTAAGAAAATTGCTTTGTTTCTTCAGCTGTTAAGAAGTATTACATTTTATTTAGTCTTACACTAAGCAAATTACTAAATTTAATTAATATAAAAATTTGATTTTCTGATAATAAATATTTAATACAATTTATATGCATGCTAATTAAACATATCTGATGAAATACATATAAGTAATTTCATCAGTAATTAATTTCTTTTATTAATTAATTTATAGTATATTTTATAGTAATACTTACTAACTCGATACTAATTTTAAAACAAAATCTTTTTATACTTTTATAATTTCATAAATTTTTAGCACATAAAACTTAAGTATTTCTTTTATTTATTTTTAAAAATTATAAATATAAAATAAATTAATTTAATATAATCAATCTATTATGATAAAATCAAGCTAATATAAAATATCAACAAATTTCAAAAGAAAACTAAATAAATTACTTATTATATTAAACATATTTAATATGTTAATCAGGCACTGTAAATGTTTGCTATTATCTAAAATTTTCCTTAAATTTTAAAATTTGCTTCTATTTTTTGGGAAATAAGAACACTGTTTTTTATAAGAATAAAGTATATTATAAATTTGACAAATTTAATTTTGATTGTAAAAGAAAAATCATCAAAATATAAAAATTAACTAAAGGAAATAAAAGATACTTATGATAAAAAGTAAAATGAAAGGCTTTGAAAAATTATCAAATAGAAATACTAAAGTAAAATAGGAGAATTTTATTTCTTTTATAAAAAATTTTTACTAATATAAAATTACTAGTGTAGAATAATTAAAAGATGAAAGTAGAATAATTGTTAAAATTTTCGATTAAATTAAATAGGAATTCTTAAATTTATTTTCTTAAATTAAATGCATGGATAACGTGAAAATTCTATAAATAATTTAGTTTAAATCAGTAAATTTAGTTTATTTATTTAGTATTTTGCAGTAAAATATTAAAACGCTTGATAACTTAAACAGTTTTATTATAGAATTTTAAAAAGATTTTCTAATTAGTTTTGAAGAAGCTAAATTATTATCTATGAGCTTTAAAAATAGCATTCAATATTTAGATATGAAATTTGGTGAAGTAGATTAAATTTCCTATTAATAAATTATAAGTGGCTTCAAAAATCTTAGTAACTTACTTGAAATAAACATTAAGATAAGATTAAATAATGAATTAGATGTTAATGATTTCTATATTTCTATTTCATCTCTTAAGAATTTAAGAAAACTGCATTTATTGATAAATACCTAACATATTGATTACTAAAGATAACAAAATTTGTATCTTACCGAATGCGAATAGATTGAGACAAGTCTTCTTGAATTCAATTAAATAAATTCACTTAAATAAGCATAAAAGCTCTCTAGTTTAAGTTTAGTTTTTAATTATCTAGAAAAAGATTTATTTAGTAGATTTATCAGTAATCATTTAAATTATATTGCAAATATATCTGAATTATAATTATAGTTTCAATTATTTGATTAACAGACTAAAGAATTCTTAATATTTGTTTTACAGCAGCTTAAATGTCTTAAAAAAATCATAATAGATATAAATGTGGTTATTGAAATAGACTTGCAAAGTTTATTTTAAATAATTGAGTTTAACTCATCAATAGTTACATTTGTGCTCATTTAATCCTGTGCTGAACCTATAATTGTTATGCAAACTCCATAAATCAAACTAAAAAATTTGAAAAACTTATCTATAGAATGTGATCTAAAGGATTAAGAAGATGAAATTTATTTAATTAAATAGCTTAAAACGCTAGAGAATTTACAAACCCTTGAACTCATGAGCTTTGAAAATAAAATTAAAATAAAAAAATTAAAAAGATTGGTCAAAGTTTCTTATCTTTCTATTTGAATATTAAATGATATTATTTAAATTATTAATTAATTACATATTTATTATTAAATTGAAATTTTTAAGTATTAACTTTAGATAGATTTTATATTGTTATATATTAGTAATTATAAATGTTTATTATTTCATTGATAACTTTACACTCATAAAAAATTATGTGAACACTTTACTGCCATGCTTATTTATTATAAAATTCACTTATCGAAACAGCCTAAAGTTACCAGGGTACCAGCTGTGTTGGAGTTGTGATTTAAGGTGGTTGACTTAAATTAAGATCAAGAAGTAAAAACATAAAACATGTAATATAATTTTTATGGCAATATATGATCCCCAGTAATTATGCTTGTGAGCTGAGTTCATAAGATACCATCTTTTTATGAATTTCCAAAATTAAATTAAAATACTCTCAATAGCTTTATTTATTCATTTTTCCAACCCTACTGATGATTAGCCAAATATTTTTACAGAATAACCATTAAATCTCTCATAAATTTTTTATACAAAAATAGTAAAATTAACAAAAAATAGGTTTAAAAGTATTTAAGCCAAACTGAAAATTTTAATATAACCATACTTTAATAAAAAAAACTCACTCAAAACTATAATTTTTTATGGATATCTAATTTTTATATTCCGAATATTATTTGCATTAACTTAGCTTGATAGTATAAAACTTATCCATCAATTTTTTATGTAAAGTGTATTTATATGTATTATATATAATTTTAGTTAATTAATTAACAAATTTATATCAAAGGAAATTAAAAAATAAAATGAAATTAATGAACAAAATATTGCTTATGGATCTATTCAAATAAAATGAGTTGTAATGCATCTTTTTTTTTGTGATTTAAATTTTTAAGCTTAAAATATAAATTTAAAATTTTACAATTCCTTTTTTCATATTTGTGATTTTTTGCATTGAATTATAATTTGGTGAAGAGAGTTATGCCCTTTAAAAAAATGTAATCTTTGAGTGGAAATTCGTATACTTTTTAAGTTGGAAAAGGGAATAGTTACAACGCATAAGATATTTCTGTCTAGTTCTGATAAAAATTAATTTAAATTACTTAGAAATTAAACTAATGTTACTCTTATTCAAAAATATTTACTAGAGTTTTTGTTGTAATCAAAAAGCAATAGTTATGATGTAGCAAATTAAATCTAAAAGTAGCTATTAGTATTTGAAAAAGATTATCCTATTAATAATTTCTTTAATAATGTTTTTCAATAACAAATAATTAAATAATATGATGGTTTGAATTAATAACAAACAATCAAGCTTATTGAAAAAAAAAACATAAATTTTCTTTCTAATTTTCTATTGATATTTATTATAAAAAGTAAATTAAATTATTTGTTTAAAAGTTTAATAAGATTTTAAAATTAATAAAGATGAAAAGGTTCTTTACAAAGTAGAATTTAATGAACAATCTAGGAAGAATAATATATGGCTTCTTAGTACTTATATTAGCAATTTTACTCATAGTTTTTTCTGCAGTAATTAGCAACTCATATAGTTCAAATGATATAGATTTATCCTAAATTTTAGAAAATTGGGAGGAATACCCAATCTTTAATTTATATTAGCCATATTCTGATTCAACTTAATGCAACTAAGGAGATGAATCCATCTTTCTATATTAGTAATTATAAATTATTTTATTAGATAAATTAAATACTCAGATTCTATTTTCTAGCTTAACTTTGTTTAATAATTAATAGATGGCCTGGAACTAGTGCGGGTTGTTAATGTAATGATTCGACATTTACAACTAATTTATGTTGTGGTGTGTCTGGTAATAGCGGATCTTGCTGTAATGGAACACCCATTTAATAAATAAATTCAGAAGCTCTTAGATACTGGGATATGAGTTTAGACGCAAGCTAACCCAATCCATAAATTATTTGTGGTGAAAAGCTGTTTGGATACAATTTTAGAACAAACGCTCGCTACAATAATGAATGTCCATCTAATCTAAAAACCTGTGGTTCAGATTCTAATTTCGTATTCTGTGTCCCATATGAAAAAGAATGTCCCATTCAGGAAGTGCGATTCGAGATACAGGAATTTGAAGATAAGACATATGAGAATTTCTAGTTAAATATCCAACAAAATACATATTTCATTTATATTAAAAGGACATATTAAAGCAAATTACCAATTGTATAATTTAGAGTGAGTAATCATTTGTCAGCATGCTAAGATGAATAGCTATCTTACATTCCTTAATTAGATTCTATTTTTGATCTTAGAAGTACAAATTGTTCTCTCTCAAAATAGTATTTTTACACAGATTTATCTTTATTAGAGGAGGACTACTTTTCAATCCATAATATATCAAATTAGCTTCTAAGCTTGCCTTCCTTCTCCTTTAATACAAATTATCCTTTCAGGTTACTAAGTGAAAGTTACTACACCACTTAATAGCAATGCTTGTAGTATATGGAATCATTTTATTCAATTAATTCAAAGATGAATTCAATTTCAACTGCTGCGTATGTTACTTTTATACTTTGCTTGATATATGGTTTAGAATTACTTGTTATCGAAACTTGGATTGGATTTATTTATAATAAATATTTGTGGGGACTTATTTTTATGAGAAAAAAAGTTAATCTCATTTGGAAAATTATTTATTCAATCAAGTTTATTTTGTTTGTAGCCTGCATAACATCTTCTTTTGTCCTTGCTTACTTATACAATAAAGAGTACAATTTTTTTCAAAATTAGATATCTGAGAGCTGCTTTGATGGGGAAGCAAATTATTAATTCCAACTTTAGATAAATAACATGTATCCCGGTTTAATTACTGGACTAATTATTGTTATCTTTATATTATTTTTTATTGAACCAAATGTTTGGTATATCTTAATCACTTGTTATAATCCTGGATAATATGAAAAGGTAAGCCATAATTCTTTAGTTTCTACAGAATAGCTCGATGATAAAAAAGGTTCTTAAGATTTAATGATAACAAATCCTAGCAAATAAATATAATACCCTATTGATTATCAAATAACTAATAATGAACAAGCTATTGAGCAGAAATAAAATAATAACTAAAATTAAGTCTTAAATAACGAAATCCCATAAAACTAAGTCCATATTATCCCTAATGTTCCTCTCTAATAATAATAATAATAGTAAATATAATAATAATAATAATATTTATCTTAATAATAATTTTACTAATTTTAATATGGATTTAAATAAATATAATAGAATGGACAACAATAATTTGTGTAATAAAACTTAATGCCTAATGGAGAATATAATCTGCCTTAATAAAATTATTAAAATAATAATCCAAGCTAAAATATATCTATCTACTAAACTAACAGATAATTTATCTCTTCAAACGATGTTTAAATTCAGATGTAAAACATTTATTAAAATTAAGAAAACTTGTAAAGATAATAAAGAAATATTGAAGAAGAGTACGAAACATAACCAAAACCAGGTGTATGATGTTGTAAAATATAATAATCAAACTTTGAAATTTATTCAAACAATTTTTTTCTTTAAATAGTAAAAATAATCAAAATATTATTGATTTTTCTATTTAAAACGTATTTATCTTTATATTTTATAAATGTTAATTATTATACTATTAAAATATTTAATATATTTATTAAGGTTGGAATATCGAATATTAATCAATTTTTTTTTAATATCAAAAGATTAATATTATATTTTTGTTGATTTTTTTCATTTTTATGAAAAAATTAACAATATATAAATATATTTTTTTTTTGTACCTTAATTATATTTATCAAAAAATTTAATTATATTTTCTATACAATAATAACTAATTTTTTATATATATAATATTAAAAACAACTTTGAAAAAGAATATTTTTTTATTACATATTTTTTTTTGTCACATATTTTAATTTTTTAAGGATAGAATATAAATAATGTTTAGATGAAAATAAAATAATTTAAAATTTCTATTTTATCAAAATATTTTATATTGATTAGTTCTTAAATAAATGATAATATTTAAAATTTGAAACATATTTTGAATAGATTCTTTTTATATGATTTTATAAGTTAAAATACATGTTAAGCTTTTGTTAATTGTAATTTAGTTGATAAAATATATATAAATTCAATAAAGAATGAACAAACTCAAGAGTATTGAGCATTAAAAAGATTTTCAATATACTTATGGGTTTCTTTAATCCATTTATCATTAACATGATTAATTTGTTGTTAGTCAATTTTATTATTTTTATTTTCTTGTTCAGCAAGTTTATTTTATTATTTTTCAAAATTGAAACCATTTTCTTCTTCTTCATCATCACTGTCTTCGTGACCATTTTGTTCGTTATCTTCTATTTCCATGTTACCAAAATTTGCAAAGATATCAATATCTCCATCTTCTTTTTTAAGCTAGTTTTTAAGCATTAAGTTGTCAAAGAATTAATTGAAAACCAATCCACTTGGTGGGATCAAATGAGATTTTTCATTGTAAAACTCGCTGACTAACTTAAAATCTTATCTGTATCTAATTTATTTTTAATATTATTTTTATTATTTTTTGTTTGATAAATTTAATGAAATTTTACTAGTAATTTAAAAATGTTTAATATTTCGATGAGAAGCTCTGTTAATTAGCTTCAGCATCCATTTTATAAGCTTCATTTTTTTATAATTTTTCAGCTTCTTGCTATTATTCTTGTTAGAATTCAGAAGATTCAGAAATCTTTTTAAGATATTTTCTAGCTTCTTCTTCTTTGAAGTGGTCGTCAAGGATCATAAAGTTCATGCCTGAGTCTAATCCAATTAATACTTTTCTATAAATTAGAAATTAAAATTCCATTAATGTTTATTCTTGCTTAATTTAATTTACCTTGTCTCTAATTAGATATATGAAATTTTATTCAAAGGGCTAGGAATAGCATAGGCAGATACAACTTAGAAGTTTTTAGTTGACAAAGTAATAGCTCCACTTGTTTTCTTGTCAGAAACAATAAGCAAACTAATTTAATTCAAAGATTTTTCGAAAGATAAATCCTTATAAGACTCCATATTTAATTCAATTATAGTTTAGCCTGAAGCAGTGTTAATAACCTTGAATGTATTTTTATTCATTAAAAATATTTGTTCTTATTCTAAATTAACTTCAAATCTTTTAACTTCCTAAATTCCAACATTAATAGTTTTCTCAATTTTATTGTCAGTGATGTTCTATTCATATTAAACAACTTATAAATACATTTTTATTCATTAAAAAATATCATTTACCCATTATAAATAAATGTCTTCAGCCAATACTGCAATAATATCCTTATCTTCCTCATTAAGATAATGTTAAACACCTAAAATTTTCTTATTTTTGTAAGATCCTTCAAATTCACAATTCCAAAAGTATTCATAAACTATTTATTCAAATTTTAGATATGTTAAAACTGCTAAATTCTATTAAGTAATATTTATTTTACCTTTAACTTCTCCTGACTTGCTGTTGGGAGCTTTTCTTGTATACTTTTTCCAAATTTTGAATTTGTTATCAGATCCGTATGTGACGAATTTATGTGTGTTTGACTTGTGACTAAAGAAGCAAATAGCATCATAAATATGAGCTCCATGGGCATATTCGATTCTTGTATTGCAGTCATAATTCAAGTTTTAGTTTTCTTACCAGAATTTTAAGCAACTTAAGCTGATTTAATCTTCGTTTCTTTCTGACACAGTTAACATATCCTTCCAACTCTTATCAAATTAAACGATTTTAACACAAGCAGGATCAGGTAAATAAGATCCACTTCTTGAAGTAAGATTTCTAGAAACAACATCAAAGTCTTTTATCTTTCTTTATTCAAACAAAGATAAGAATTATATTCTTCCGGGTAAAGAGTTTAAGCAAACTAAATGAGACTCTTGATTTTAAACAATTTTATTGCAGAACATGTCATCGCTGCATTGAACTTGGGGATATGCTTAAGGGTTAGTGAAACCTAAAATGTTAAATTGAGTTTCAAAGTTGTGAACTTGCAAAAATTAGATAGAATTTTCTCTCAAACTGCAACCAACCAAGTCATTTTCAGGTGAAACGCTAATTGTCATAATCTCACTTCCTAAACGAGGATAGAAATCCTTTTTATCTTCATATTGATGCCATATAAGTAACACACCCTTTATTTTTTAAATGCATTTTGTTTATATATTAAAATTTTTTATAATATTTACTTCTTCACCACCAGAGAAAAGTAAAGAGTAGTCTTAATTAAAAGCAAGAGACTTAACTGCCAAAGAGTGCCAGTGGACTGAGCTGCTAGTGAAGTCCTAATATTATTAATATTAACATGAATAAATGAATCAATATGTGTTTAATATATTTTCAACTAAAAATCTATCATTCAATATAAAAAAACGATATCATTTAAAATTATTTAAAACAGTTATTTTATCATTTATTTCTAAATTAATAAATTGCTTTTTAAGTGAAAATCAAACTTTTTTACTTTTATATTTGAATACTTCCTTTTATTTTATTTACTTATTTGTTTATTTGTTTGATTGATTGATTGGTTAATTGATTGATTGATGATTGATTAATCGATTTATGGTTGACTGATTGATGATTGATTAATTTTTGATTTTAATCTCATTATAGTATCTTGATTTTATTAAATTCATTTTAATTTTGTATCTTATTATCCTGCTCATTAAGCCATTATAAATAATTCATAATTGAATTCCTAATTTGCTTAATTTTATATTTTTTTAGGATTGTATTTTGAATAATAATTTTTTATAAATTTATTTAGAGGTAATATCTTAATGATCTACTTTATTTTTTATAAAATATTTTATTGCTCAAATATTTATTTAAAAACCTATTAAGTTGTCTAAAAATCTTCATTTTAAGTAATACTTTGAAAAAACTAAAATAAGAGTTTTAGTATTTATTTTTGTTAATTTGTATCTCTTTGAATGTAGATATTTTAGTTAGTTATGAAAAAAATAATAATAATTACAGAAAGTTCGAAGGCTTGATGATAGTAAGTGATTTTACCCATTTCATCACCAACTGCTATGGTATATGGAGAGCAAGCTAAAGCAGTTATATTGAGTGGATGATTAATAACTCTAAAAACTTTTTGATCTTCCAATTCTACTATGACTAATTTTTTTCCTACACTAATTAAAGCATACATTTCATCTTTTGTGATGACAAGAATTTATTTCACAGATTCGTCTTGGTTTTATTATGATTTTTACTAGTCGTTTTATTATTGCTATTCATTACTGCTTTTAGTTCCATTTTATTTATTTTCTGATGATGCGTTTAAAGAAGCAAAATCATAAACGAGCTTATCTGTTTACTTGCTTATCTTAAATGAATGCAAACTAGAATTTTGATCTATGTATAATAGCTTTGAGCTGCTTGAATCAAAGGAAGCAGAAACAATAGTTTTATCCTTAAATTAATATTCAGAGAAAACAGTATTGGTTCTTAAATCAACTCCTACAAGCTTACCGCTTTGATCTAATGTGTAAGCTTCATCGAAATTTTTAGAAGAGTTTAATGAATATGCAATGATATCAGCTGAATTGGCGTCTATTTCGCTGATCAAATAGCCAGTTTTGGTGCTAAAAATACATAATTTAGTTCCAAAACAAGCTGCTACCTATTCCTTGCCTTCCAACCATTGAACTGGAAGTGGGCGAAGATTGCCACCATACTTCTTAATGTTAATATGCTAATTGCTCATTTTTGTATTGCTAGTTTTACCTATTTGATAATATGTATGTATTTTGCTTGTTAATTTAATTACTACTAGTCCTTAATTCTATTTGACTTCTTTTTTAGACTCTTAGATTTTATATAGTTAATTATTTGATATTTATTAGACTGAATTAATGAGTTGCTTGATCTTCTTTCTTTATTTTTTTTATCTAATTTATTACTAATATCATTTGATTAATTTATTAATAAATGAATGAATGCAATATATATCTAAATATATTTTTATTACTTTTGCTTTATGAAATTAATAGAATATGTATCATTCAAACCAAAATGTCCCTTTCATGTTAAATTGTATATATGCTTATGCATGTATGTATCTTTGAATGTGTAGTTGGTTTGTGAGTGCATTCATCTATTTATTAATTTATTTATTTTTGATATGTTAATTTCGAAAAGATAAAGCCAATAAATATTTATTTTTATCTTTTCCTAATAATTTTGCTTGGTTTTCATACAATATTTTGAAAAAAAAATTAATTTAAAATTTAACCTTCTAACATTCATAAATTATCCATGCTCTCTTTTATTCTTCTACTCAACTCACTTAGAGCAATCAATAAATCTACATTTCAAACCAACAAAAATAAGATAATATAATTTATCTTATAATATTTTCTCATCTAAAAATTTCTTTATTCGTTAAATTATTTCAAAAAATAATTTTCTGTTATTCGAAAAAATCAAATTTAATGAAATCATAATTTAGTAAATAAATAAATGTATTTTTTCTATCTTTTAAACTTAAAAAGATTATCTTATTATTGCAAAATTAAATCAATAATAATTAAATCATTTCATTGAAAATTAAATATTTTAATTGATACATTTTCTAAATATTTTATATTGTGAAACCTATTTAAACAGGAATTTATTCTATTAGAAGAAAAAGTTAAATTTTAGATAAAAACTTGAGCTCATTTTTTCAAAGAGTGCTCAGTTTATAAGGGTACGATTTTAGCTTGTTTAATATATATTTAATATTGAGCAATAAGAGTAACTAAATCAAATCTTCATCCACATATAATAATATTTATCAATTATTTTTAATTTTAAAATTTAATTTATTTTTTTGATATTTTCTTTGGCTTTAAATAAAAATAGAATTAAAAAAATAATTATATGTTACTTTTGTTTAATGTCAGACATTATAGATGCTTTAATTGCGAAATAAAAATGTGTATTTTTTTTAATTATGGCTTCAAATTAGTTTTCTATTTAAAAAAGTTATTTTAAATGGATTTATTGAATAAATTTAATAAAATAATAAATTCAAAAAAAAACAAAAAATTATTTTTTATTATTTTATTTTATAAATAAAAGATTAATTTATTTATTTAAAAATATATTTTTAGTTATTAAATAATTAAAATTAATTTAATATTTTAAAAGTTGTTTTATTAACAAATTAAGATAATATTTTAGCAGAAAAAACTTTAAAACATTTTTTTTAATTTAAAGAAAAAGCTAGTAAAAGAAAGATTGAAAAATTCGTTATATAAAAATCAAATTTGTAGAAGATAGATAGAAAAATAGATTTAATTGATTAATTATTATAAAAAGTATGACTAGAATATATATAATTATCAAATTTCCTTAACAAAGTATATAGATGGATCTTTAACTAGATGGGATTTTATAAATTCTTTGAGGCTTTCAATTTCCTGATTTAAATTTTTAAGCAAATCTAAAAATTCATTTTCATTTTAATAATCTTCAGTGATTTTATTCAAAAAGTCTTTGAAGTCAAAGTTAGCTATATCTGTTTCATTTGTGAATATATGTTCTTTTAGAGAATTGTTTACTATTTCAGAATATTTGGTCTTCCATTTCTATATTTTTTATGAAAAAAATTGCAAAAACCTTCATGTTTGCTTTGTAAATTATAAAAATGCAAAATAATTGTAACAATTAAGTGATATTTACAAGAAATCTATCTTTAATGTTTTAAGAGCTAGGGTTTTTGTCAAAATCGCTACGCATTTCATTTATTGTTTATTAAACATCTCCATTCAACTTTTTTAAAAAATGGTAGACACTATCTTTATCTGTATTCAATTATGAATTCATCCTTCTAACTAATTTTTATATTATTATTTTATTTACTCGCTCACTATTTATTTTTTCTACTTTCTGTTTTTGTATATTTATTTAAATTTAATAAATTCTTTAAAAATATTAATTAGCATCGCCCTTCAAGAATATTACTTTCTCTTTAAATCTAAATAAGAAAAACTAATCAAAAACCCTATTTAAACAACTCTTAAATAACTAATTATCTTAAAAATCATATTTAATTTTTCAGAAATTATTTTAATTTCACTATTTTAAAATAAAATAGAGAAAAGAATTAATTTATAAAATCAACCTAAATGTATCAATAAAATTAAATTAAAATATAAAAGCTAAATAAATTCAAAAAACTCTTAAATTAGTTTTCCTCAAACATATTTAATTTTTTCAGAAATTATTTTAATGTAGCAAGTTTTTATTTGAATATAAAAAGAGACAATAAAAAAAATAGATATCTGCTTAAAGAAGTAAATAATGTAGATTTAAATACAAATAGTTAAATAACTAACTATCAGAGTACCTTAAATTATGATAATATTAAAATCTAAGCTTTTATTTCAATATAAAAAAGAAACAATATTTAATCTTTAAACTAACTTAAGTAAATAAAGTGGATTTAAATGAATAAAGAAAGTTAAATAAATAATAATTTTCATTAAACCCTTAAATTAGGGTATGTCAAATACTCTTTTCTCAAGTAAAAGCTGAGTAAACTCTAAAAAAAAATTTCAAGTAAAGCAGGGTTGAGTAATTAAAATAATTTGGAACAGAGCAAAAGCATGCAATTCAACTTAGATAAAAAAATGAATTGATAAAAAAAAAATTAAATAAAAACTCTGATGAAAAAAATTTCTTAAAATGTAAAAATCTTACTTTATTCTTTAAGAAACTATTTTACTTTAACATTTTTTGATTTTAGAATAATCAATATATTATATAAACCTAAATATAAAATGGATTTAAAAGCAAGAGTTAAACGATTTCATACTCTTTATATAAAATTTATAAAATACTTAATATAGATAGACAGATATTGATAAATGCTGGAAATTTAAAAATTATGTGAACTGTTAAATAAATTTGAAACAAAGTTTTTCAACTTACCTGATTAATAATTAGCATAAGTACTTATATTGTACTAAATTTATTGATTTTAGTTAATTACTAGCTATCATTGCCTTCAATTCTCTTTTTTTATAAGATTTGTTATTATTAACTATTGTTGATAATTTTTCTATTATTTCTAGTAAAAATAATTCATGGATTCATGCATCTAAGTATGTATGTATATGAATGCGTTTGTGTGTTGATATAGATTCTGGAAGGTATATATTTTTTTTTAAGCAGGAATATATCTTGAATATAACTGATGAGATAGATCATTTGATAATTTATATTTATTAGACAGACAGGTAAGAAATTAATTTTTTTTGAAGTATCAAGCTTAGAAATAAAATTTTCACTAAATTTTTTTCATTTTAAAAGCAAAATGTTATTATTAATTTAAATAAAATATTTCTAAGTGTTCAACGCATTTACTTCTTAAAGCTTTTTTATTAATAGTTTAAATGCATTTATTAGAGTAATCTTTTAAGCATTTATTTCTGTCAATTTGGTTCTTATGGTTGGATGCTAGAAATAACAAAAATGCTACGAATTTTGATTTTTTTTGAGTTGAAAATTTTTTAAATATTGTATTTTTCTGGGATGTTTTTGTAATTATCTATTAAGTTTTTGATACTGCAAATTTTTAATGAAAGAGATGAAACATTTTATATATTTTTCTACCAAAGCTCATAATTTTATTAAGTCTCGTTTATACAGCTAGCTCGCCAGCTTGATAGATAGATTGTTAGTTAATTAACTAACTAACTAGCTAGCTATACAAATCTTTTTTATATACTAAATTTTTGTTTGTTATCTTTGTTAGAATAGAGGCAAAATATAATTTTTAATTCTCAGTACACTCACTGACTTTGGAGATTTTGTTTGAATTTTGAAAGGTTAAATAATGATAGTTCAGTTAAAGCAGCCATTTTAATAAAAAGAAAGGACTATCATAGTTACTTGGTAGAATTAAAGGCAGGTTAAGTTCTGTAGAAAAAGATTGATAGATAGATAGACAGATAGATAGATAGTATAATAGAGTAAATGCTCAATCAATATTATTTTGTAGTATATTTATTTATTTAAGTATATATTAAAAAAGATAAAATATTATAATTCTTATCAAAATTATGGTAGAATACTTACTATAAGTGAATAACGTTTAAAATTTGAAATTTTGTGTTGTGTTGTATGTGGGAATGTATTTATTTATTTTATTTAGATTATTCTCTTTCTATTCTTTTAAGAGAGAAGCTATTTATTTACATTGTTAAGTATGTTTTTCAATATTAGTTCAAGAAACTAGCGTAGCGAGGTTGAGCTTGTTGTTATTATTGAGGAGTATACATAGGTACTCCCATTGCTGCGTTCATCATTTAGGGAGGAGGTTGAGTTGACTAGGCACTTGGAACTCTTTAAGGAGTAGATGAAGCTGTGTCTTCTGAGTGTAGGCCTAAGTTTTGCATTAGTTAATGATGCAATTTTCTAACAGAATCGTCCTTAATTAGACTCCAATTAGGGTCTTTGAAACCTTGAGGAATTATCTTTTTCAGTGCTTCGTTTGCTCTAATTTAAAAAAAAAGAAATTAATTTAAATGCTAATAAATATTGTTAAATTTCAACCTGTTGTTTTCAGAAAGTCTTTAATAGCATTTTATAATATGTCTCAAGAGTCTTTAGTCATCTTTTTGATTTTATTCTAAATCTTCAATCATGCTTTAAAGGACTGTGGAGACCTAATTAAAAATTAATAGATTTTAGCATTTTTTTATTTAATGAATTATTTACAGCAAAGAAGCGTTCTGCTGTTTGACAAATATAATTCAAACCATTGTCATCAATTAAAATCTTCTAAACAATAAATGTAGCAACTGTTCTTGATAATTCTTATCCTCTTTTCATAATACGCAAGCACAAAGGAATTATTTCAGTTTGCATTAAAAATGTTATTGCCTCAGTGTCATCACCCTTCACAAGTGCTCCAATAACACCCAACGAAGTTACCCTCAAATTCTCAAAAGGTTTTAGCTTTGCAGAAGTGTTGAGGAAAGGGTATAAGAATAAAGGAATGTGAGCTTTTATTAAAAAATTCAATATTAAAAATAAATTTCATTTAGATTTTAATTTAATATTGAAAATTAAGAAATAAATTAGCTAGAAAGAAGCAAAGATTTTAAACAAAAAATTTGCTTTGAGATGAATTTAAAATAATTTCATTAGGAAATTTAAGGAGATTTTATTGTTGGTGAAATTATTACCTTTAATGAAGTGGGGCTTCGTTTCTGGATGTAAAGCTAAGCATTAAAGAAGACCAAGGACAGAACAAACCTGGGTAGAAACAGCTTAAGTGAGGACATTAGGAGCTAACTAAGAATAGACAGAAACTATATCGTCTATTAGTAAAGCAATTGTTCCGTTCGAGTGCCATAAAAGGGGAGCTAAGTTATTGAAAGATTCTCTCTTTCTACTAAGTTCCTACAAAGCTTCTTCCTTTCTTTCAGGATCTTTTAAATTTAAAATGTGCTACACAATTTAGTCTAATTCCTTTTGATTCTGCTAGTCATCTATCTGAGGAGTTTAGTGAATTGAAGAGTTCTGCTAAGAATTTTGATTATAAAATACATTGTTATTAATAAGAAAAATATAAATTAATAATCTTTATATTTTGAATAGGTTTTTAATACAAAAATTAATTCTAATTCAATATTTTATTGATTATTGATAAAAAGAAATATTTAATATTTACTTGGGGTGGGATTTGTTGATAATTCATCTGAGCGTGAATTATGTAAGGCTACATGTGTTACATTGGAGGAGGAGTAGATGTCACAAATACATTTTAAGGAGAAGGACTGCTGAAAGGGATAGGTTGATGCAAGGGAGGAATTTAAGCTACAGGCTGAGGCATATGAAGGAGTCCACTTGGATAAGGTTGCTAAACATTTGACATTTACTATTATTTTTATATTATTAATCAGTCAATAAAAAAAGAATTGCGAAATCCTTTGAATAAAATACATATTAAGCAGCTTGTGGCACTTAAGGTTGAGGAGATTATGAAGCCGCTAACATTTAAGAGTAATCCAAATGAGGATACATTCCATAAATTTCTTTTAAAATTAAATAAAATAATAATTATAATAAACATTATTTAATTTTTAAAGTTTCTTACCTTGAGGGTAGATTATTTACTAATGGGGATGGCTGTAGATAATTTGTGGAGAGATTGAATGAGGAGGAATCACTTGGGGATCTATTTTTTAATTTCAAAATTGTTTGTTTATATTTTGAATAATTCCAGATTAGTTAGAACAACATTTTTAAATGTTATTTAATATTGGATAATATTGCTCTTATTGCTCTAAATTACTTGGATTTTAGGAAAAGTGCGGTGGCTATTGGTACATCTTTATATTCTCTTTAACCTAATTTAATTACAAAAAACTTGTTATATAAATTTTACTTCATTGAAATTTTATTATTTTAATGAATTCATTGTTAATCTAATAATTTGTTTCTTTTTCAGATTGGCTTATAAAATTCATGTCTATTAGACTAAAAATGATTCTTTTTATTCGTATTATGGAGAAACTCTAGCAGTCTCTTGTTAAAGGAATACTATTTATTACTTTTTGTCAGAAATTTGCCTGATTGGTATAATTACTTGCTTTATTGAACTAATACTATCTATATCTGTGTGTTATTTATTTTACAATGCAGAAAAACTTTTTATGCAGAAAAAACTTATTTGCTTTAATTTGTTTGCCTTTTTATTTGATTATAAATTTTAAGATTTTTTGCCTTTATTTTTTTGCTTGCTAGATTGTATAATTAAATTTTCTGAACTAATTAATAACGCTGGGCATTTATTATTTAATAAATTATTTAATATAAAGGAATTTATTCAAGTAAAGCAATTTTGAATTCATTTTTCATTCATTCAATCAATCAATCAATCTTTCTTTTATGGATTTTAGTATAATTTGCAAGGCAGATGATGATTTTTAACTTAATTAACTATTTTAATTGCTATCTTCCATATCTGCCTGTGTATATTCATTCATTCATTTTTTTTTTTACTAATTGTCAGCTATCCTAAAAAATCTTAAAACTATCTAAAAAATATCAATCATATCAAACAGTTTAAAGATTTTAAGATTTACTTTAATAAAATAATAATTATGATTAATAAGTAATCATTAACAAAATAAATAAGTTTCAATACAAAAATCTATCATTTTTTTAAATTAATTTTAAATAATTTTTCAAATTCAAATAAAATAGCTCAAATTTTATCCTTAAAAGTATTTAAAACAATCAAATTAATTATATTTATTTGTTAATTATGATATAGCTTGTTATGAATAAAATAGAAGGAAAGAAGTAATAATTATTATCTCCTTTAATTAAAACTTTTTATTTTTCTTGCTTAATAATAATAACTTTTCTATGATCAATTCTCAATTAAAATATAAATTATTTTTGTATTTAATTTTATAAAAAATAAATTTTAAATTAAAGTTTTTTTTGGCATTTTTCTTATAAATCTATAAATTATTTAAAAATGTTAACCTTTCGATATTTGGCTTAAAAAAAGGTGTTTTAATTATTTTTAAAAAAATATAAATTTCTTTTATCACAATAAATTATAGTATTGTAGTGTAGTGAAGAAGTATTATATTTTATTTCATCTCTAATTATAAAAATTTAAAAACTTATAAGAATAAAATTAACTTTAAAATATTTAAAGGGTAGTTCATATAAAAATATTTTGAGAAATAAATCAATTTGAGCAATAAAGCTTTTAATTTAGGTTACCTTAAATTTCCACATTCTTTGAGCGATCCTAAGAGTTCAGGATTATTTTAGATAAATTTTAAATATATAAAAAATGTCCAAATATCTTATAGTTTAAGGGTTAAATACCTTGCTTATAGGGGTTAATATGATAAAAAGTATAGATTACAAATCATAATTGATAAAATGAAAAGTAGTTACTTGAGAGCTAAAAGATCAGTCAGATAAATAAAATCATTTAATATATTTCTTATAAAAAACCAATTAATTTGTATGTAAAAAGTAATAATAAAATTAATTTATATCTAACTTTTTCATAAGTTAAAAATAAAAGAATATTTGTTATATTAATTAAATTTAATAATGAATGTAATTTTTACAAATTTCTTTAAATAATAAAATTGTTAAATATTTAGAATCGAAATATTTTTATTTAAAAGAGCTGATATTATTTTGGTATTAAATATATTTAATGATCAAATAGATAAATAGAATCAAATAAGTTTTCTGAAATTATTCTGTAAATATTCTTGATGCAAATAATTAATTAAATTTTAGAAAATTGATATAATATTAATTTTGTTCAAAAAAATGATAAAAATTAACAAGATACTTATTCACTCGTTTAATCCTCAGAGATTCTAGATTTTTTCTACAATGAACCTATACTAATTTAGTTTTTAAAGTATAATTGGATATTAAAAATAAGATTTATATATATAATATTCATATTAAAATAATCAGGACTAATAAATTAACTAATTAATTTAAAAAAACACAATATAAAATTATCAATTCATTTTTAATGCAATAATAATAACAATAAGAATACTAGTATGATTACTTCGTGATAGGAGGTGGTTCTGGTGGATAGGCTTCTGCCAAGGAAGCAGCTTCTTTTGGAGCTAGAGTTGGATTAGCAGATTTTGTAAAGCCTAGTCCATAAGGATCAACTTGGGGTTTAGGAGGTAAATAAACAAATAATAAGATTCAAAAATGGCAAAATTAAGTAATTTGTAAATTAATAACAAATAAAAGGAACTTGTGTAAATGTTGGATGTGTGCCAAAGAAAATGTTCCACTATGCTTCTGAATTCGGAGATATTTTAGAGCACTAAAGAAATGCTGGTTGGGAAGTTCCACATAACATCAATCATAACTGGAGTACTTTAGTAAATAAGGTTTAGACATACATCAAAAGGTTGAACGGCATTTATATGGATGCTTTGAAAGACAAAAAAGTCACTTACTATAATGCTTTTGCCTCTCTGAAGGATAAAAACACTATTTAAGTAAAAATTTTTATTTCTTTTTATCATATTTTAAAATTACATTTTTACTTAACTTTGCTATTTCTACTTTAAGTGTTTATTTAATCAAAATAAAATTCAGTCAGATACTTTCTAATCTGTTACAACTCAAAGTATATTTAAATCACTCTGATTTTTTTCAAAAAATCATTACAAAATAATTATTATTGATTCAAAGCAATTTATTTCAAATAATCCAAATTTTATAATTTATTAGAATCAATACTTATTTTCATCATAAAAATGATTTATTTTATCATCAATACACAGAGTTTATGTTGAATTAGCGTAATTTAAATGAAATTAAATGACTCCTTTTAAAAGATGCCAATTAAAAACTAATTTTTTGAAATAAAAAAAATAATAGAAATTTTACATATTAATATCTAAATATTTATTCTTTTTTTTATTCAAAGCTTGAAGACATTAATGGAAATAAGACAGAAGTTACAAGCAAGTATATCTTGTTAGCTCTTGGAGGAAGACCAAAATACTTAGACGAAATTCCAAATATTAGAGAATTAGCAATAACTTCAGATGATATTTTCTTTTAAAATACTCCTCCAGGAAAAACACTTGTTGTTGGTGCTTCTTATGTTGCTCTAGAGTGTGCAGGATTTTTGAATGGCTTAGGTTACGATGTGACTGTTCTTGTCAGAAGTAAAGTTCTTGCTAATTTTGATTAGGAGTTTGCTCAAAAGGTTAAGTTATTTATGTAGAAGCACGGAGTTAAATTTATCGAAGGTGCTGTTCCCACAAGTATTAAGTTATCTGAATAAGGCTAAGATCTTAAACACGTAGAGTATAAGAATACTTAGACAGGTGAACTTGTTGGTAAAATAAATACATTTAAAGATTCAAAAATCTATTTTCTTTTTACTTTAATTTAAAATTCTAAAATCCATTTGCTTTAATTTAGGTTAAGATCACTTCAAAACAGTTTTAATTGCAGTTGGTAGAGGAGCTTAAACTAAGGGCGTTAACCTTGAGTAAGTTGGAGTTTAGTTGACAAAAGACGGAAAGATTGTCTGTGATGATAGTGATACTACTGCTATCCCAAACATTTTCTCAGTTGGTGATTGTGTTGAAGGTAGACTTGAGTTAACTCCTACTGCTATTAAAGCTGGAAGAATGCTTGCTCGTAGACTTTTCAACAACTAAAAGTAACTCATGCAATACCACAATGTCCCTACTACCATATTTACTCCTTTGGAGTTTGGTACTGTTGGTTTGTCTGAAGAATAAGCTGCTAAAAAGTAACAAATAACTATTAATTTATTAAAAATTATAACATTTTCATTTAATTTAGATATGGCAAAGATAACTTAAATATTTGGATTTCTACATTTAAACCAATGGATTGGTAATATTCTGTTGCAAAGTAAGATGACAGAGCTATTTGCAAGCTCATCACTGTTAAAAATGACAATGATAAAGTTATTGGTCTCCACTACATAGGTCCTTAAGCTGCTGAAGTCACCTAAGGTTTCGCAGTTGCCATCCAGATGGGTGCTAATAAGGAAGACTTTGACAATACAGTTGCAATCCATCCTTCCTATGCCGAAGAGTTTGTACTTTTAAGAACACCAAGACTCTGAAAGCTAAAAAAATGAATTAACATAATATATAATATATTATAATAATTTAATTTATTGCTTAACAGCATTTACAATATGTAATTTATAAATTGTATAACAATGTAGTCTCTCAAATTAATTTGTTTTCATCGATATTTCTCAAATTTATTTTTTAAGTATTTACTTCTATAATTTCATACATAAGTAAATGAAATATTAATAAATTTAAAATTAAAACAAATTTTCCAAGGATTCCATCAATTTTTCATCAAAAAATTAACAAAGATTTTCAAAATTTAATCTTTTTTTTAAGCTAAAAATTAATCTAAATATTTTAATTAAATAAAAGAAAAAAAATAAAATTTTAAATTAAAGATTTAATTTTTTGATGAAGAAATCTAAATTTTTTTACAAAAATTTAATCTAGAACTTCTTTTTTTTACATATAAAATGAATGAAAAATTTTTTATTGAAAAATTTTTATTTATTTTGAAGAGATTCTAAACCTATTTTCATTTGTTTGTTTTGATAGTCTATCCAAAATTAAAAAGACATTAATTCTAATTTTATTTTTACTAAAAACAAACATTTTACGAAAAGATAAATTCATTTTTTTTAGAATAAATAAATAACAACTACTTTCTTTATAAATATCAATAAAAAATATAAAATATGTAAATTTTTAATTCATTAAAAATAATTATCCAAACAAATATACAAAAGTAAGAGTAAAAAGTAGAATGAATACCATAAAAATTTGAGTTAGATTTGGAGTAAAAAATAAATTTATTTTTAAGATATTCAACATTAAAAGTTGCATTTAACTAATTTTTTTATTTTAAAAATATTTTGTTTGATAGCAAATGCTTCTCTTCTCAATAAGTTATTACTCCTAATAAATTTTGATTTAATAAGCATTTATATGAAAAATTAAGTAATTACTCTAAGTTAAGCTTTAGTGCCTTGATATCTGAGTGTTTTCTTATTGAAGAAATGGCATTTTAAGCTCCTTTAAAGCTAATATTGTTTTCACTAAAAATAAAAAAGAATTTTTAATCAATAAAGAACTTTCTTAATAATTACAAAAGTGTTAATTTTAAGGATAATAATTTTTTGCAAAATTTTAAGCTGGAAGATAAATTTATTATGCCCTCATCAGTAATCTAATTATTTCTTTAAATTTTTAAAATAAAATTTTAGTTTAAACTATCATAATTAATGATAATAATTATATCACGATAAGACTAGCCTTAATTTTCTTAAATTAATTAGTCCTCCAATTGCCAATGATAAATGAAAAACTCCATCATCGTTTACTCCATTACCACTTTTAATATTAAAGTCATTAAAAGTAAAAAAATATAAGCTCATATTTTACAATAAACCCAATGTTAAACATCTAAGATTATAGAGTTGACATAAACCAAAAGCTAAATGATTTGTTCCATCTTAATTTATAAAATTTCGCCTTTTTCAATTAAAAATTTCTTCAAAATAAAATCAAATAAACTAATTATTTTAATTATAACCCTAAATATAGCTTTAAAATTTAAAGGTTTTTAATTTTTTTTAATTCTTATGCTAAATGTAATATTCCTTCAACACCTATTGAGTTATATCTTAAAAATTTTATCGAATTTTTAATAGTTTATTTATAAAATTGGAAATACTGCAGCTCAAGAATTAAGACTGTAAGATACTTGAGCTATCCAAATGAAGAGCTTATATTCTAAATTCCTTCGTCTCCAATATAATTTGTGCTTTAATATAAAGAACATAATTAATTATTTTCTTAACAATATTTTACTATAAATTTATCTTGATTGCTTTTAGATTTACGCACTTAGAGATTACTTAGCCTAATGTAGTAGAATTTACCTTTCCAACTTTATTTAAACTTCATTAAAAAAGTAAAAATAAAATTTATTTATATTTTAAATTACTTAAAATTCAATTCTAAATTTTAATGAATCGTAGTATTTGACTTAGAAAACTTTTTAAGATTTAAATATTTAAATAAATATCTTTCAGTATCTATTAAAATATTACATCATCTAATCTTCCAAAATACATTTTCTTTCTTCTTTTTCAATGTTTTATTTTTTTAATTATTTTCTTTATTTTAATCTTTTATATATATTTGAAAGTATTAAATAAATTTACCAATTATTAAAAGAAATATCCAAAAGAAAGTGTAAAACAGAAGATTCTATTATTAGTGGTTAAATTCCTTATTTTTTTATTTTTACAATACACAGAATCTTTATTATTTTTTTGATAAATTTAAAAAATATATTTTAAACAAATCAAATAAATTCTACTAATAAACATAAAAATCTACTGAAGAGTATTTAGTTTTTATCATTATGCGTCTGTCTGTCTATTGTATTTTTTATTCTTTAAGAAATATTCAGTTATATATTTTGCACAAAAAAAATTTATTTAAAACCACTAAAGTTAAAATAAAAAGTAAAATTGATTTCTCCCTGAGGTTTTATTTAAATCATGGTATCTAATTAATCATGATAAATAAAAAAAGGATAGAAATATGATTGATGGATAATGTTTAAGATTAAAATATAACTAAAAAGTTTGGCATTTATATAATTTAATAAGATTTAATATAACACTAAAAGTTTCAAATTATTTGATCATTTTTAGAGAAACCAGAGAGTTTGCTTATGAGGATTTAATTTATTTAAGTAAATTTAATTTTTTTATTTTTTATAAATAATTTATTTACTTACAAAAATATGAATGATATTTAATAATATAAAATCAATAATAAAATCTATCTATCTATCTATATTTTAGGTTAAAAACTTTTCCAAAATATTATATAATAAAATATATAATACAATTCAAACATTTTATATTTATTCATCCTTTTTAACCATTTGTTTATCATTTGAAATGAAAGACAACTAATCTTTTTGATTTAAGAAACTTGCTTTTTACCTTGAGTCCTAATGATTCATTCATTGAGCTAAACATTTTATAATAAATTTGTGTAAATTTTAAAATAAATATCAAAATAGAATAAACTTTTAAATTAAAAATTATTCTTTAAATTAATACATAAAATAATTTTAGTGGAATAAAAAAGATAAAAAAATAAAATAAATAAAGTTATCAAATATATTCAAAGAGCTTTTTTGTGTTATATTCATTTTTATAGTTTAAAATATCATATTAGAAGGGAAAAATGAAGAAAAAATATGAAATAATAAGAAATAAATAATAAAAGCAAAAGTTGAAAATAAAATGATGAGCTAAATTAACAAAGAAAGAACAAAAAAAAGCAAGCACAATAAAAAGAAAATGAAAAAAGAGCTTTATTGTTTTTTATTAGTTTTTATAATTAAAAATGTCACAATCCAAAACAAATAAATTGTTTTTACGTAAGGTTAAGTGTCAAATTTGAGAGATTAATGCAATTTGCTAAAGCAGAACCTAAGCCTGATGCACCTTCATCACCAATTTAATTGCAACTTTTTAAATATTGAAGAAAAAATATATCATTAAATAGTTAATTAGAAGGAAAAAATGAAGAAAAAATATGAAATAATAAGAAATAAATAATAAAAGCAAAAGTTGAAAATAAAATGATGAGCTAAATTAACAAAGAAAGAACAAAAAAAAGCAAGCACAATAAAAAGAAAAAGAAAAAAGAGCTTTATTGTTTTTTATTAGTTTTTATAATTAAAAATATCACAATCCAAAACAAATAAACTGTTTTTACGTAAGGTCAAGTGTCAAATTTGAGAGATTAATGCAATTTGCTAAAGCAGAACCTAAGCCTGATGCACCTTCATCACCAATTTAATTATGACCTTTTTAAATATTGAAGAAAAAATATATCATTAAATAGTTAATTAGAAGGAAAAAATGAAGAAAAAATATGAAATAATAAGAAATAAATAATAAAAGCAAAAGTTGAAAATAAAATGATGAGCTAAATTAACAAAGAAACAACAAAAAAAAGCAAGCACAATAAAAAAAAATAGAAAAAAGAGCTTTATTGTTTTTTATTAGTTTTTATAATTAAAAATATCACAATCCAAAACAAATAAACTGTTTTTACGAAAGGTAAAGTGTCAAATTTTAGAGATTAATGCAATTTGCTAAAGCAGAACCTAAGCCTGATGCACCTTCATCACCAATTTAATTGTGACTTTTTAAATATTGAAGAAAAAATATATCATTAAATAGTTAATTAGAAGGAAAAAATGAAGAAATAATATGAAATAATAAGAAATAAATAATAAAAGCAAAAGTTGAAAATAAAATTATGAGCAAATTAACAAAGAAACAACAAAAAAAAGCAAGCACAATAAAAAAAAATAGAAAAAAGAGCTTTATTGTTTTTTATTAGTTTTTATAATTAAAAATATCACAATCCAAAACAAATAAACTGTTTTTACTTAAGCTCAAGTGTCAAATTTTAAGAGATTAATGCAATT